ATGACGGAATATCAACATGTGACGCTAGTGTCTTATATTATGACATATATCGACGTGAGTCTAGAACATTGTAACATAGCGGAAAATCAACATGTGACGCTAGTGTCTTATATTATGACATATATCGACGTGAGGCTGCAACATTGTAACATGACTGAATATCAACATGTGACGCTAGTGTCTTATATTATGACACATATCAACGTGAGGCTAGAACATTGTAACATGACGGAATATCAACATGTGACGCTAGTGTCTTATATTATGACATATATCGACTTGAGTCTAGAACATTGTAACGTGACGGAATATCAACATGTGACGCTAGTGTCTTATATTTTGACATATATCGACGTGAGGCTACAACATTGTAACATGACTGAATATCAACATGTGACGCTAGTGTCTTATATTATGACATATCGACGTGAGGCTAGGACATTGTAACATGGTGGAATATCAACATGTGACGCTAGTGTCTTATATTATGACATATCGACGTGAGGCCAGTACATTGTAACATGACGCAATATCAACATGTGACGCTAGTGTCTTATATTATGACATATATCGACGTGAGGCTACAACATTGTAACATGACTGAATATCAACATGTGACGCTAGTGTCTTATATTATGACATATATCGACGTGAGGCTAGAACATTGTAACATGACTGAATATCAACATGTGACGCTAGTGTCTTATATTATGACATATATCGACGTGAGTCTAGAAGATTGTCACATAGCGGAAAATCAACATGTGACGCTAGTGTCTTATATTATGACATATATCGACGTGAGGCTGCAACATTGTAACATGACTGAATATCAACATGTGACGCTAGTGTCTTATATTATGACACATATCAACGTGAGGCTAGTACATTGTAACATGACGGAATATGAACATGTGACGCTAGTGTCTTATATTATGACATATATCGACTTGAGTCTAGAACATTGTAACGTGACGGAATATCAACATGTGACGCTAGTGTCTTATATTATGACATATATCGACGTGAGGCTACAACATTGTAACATGACTGAATATCAACATGTGACGCTAGTGTCTTATATTATGACATATCGACGTGAGGCTAGTACATTGTAACATGACGGAATATGAACATGTGACGCTAGTGTCTTATATTATGAAACATATCGACGTGAGGCTAGTACATTGTAACATGACGGAATATCAACATGTGACGCTATTGTCTTATATTATGACATATATCGACGTGAGGCTAGTACATTGTAACATGACAGAATATGAACATGTGACGCTAGTGTCTTATATTATGACACATATCGACGTGAGGCTAGTACATTGTAACATGACTGAATATCAACATGTGACGCTAGTGTCTTATATTATGACATATATCGACGTGAGGCTAGAACATTGTAACATGACTGAATATCAACATGTGACGCTAGTGTCTTATATTATGACATATCGACGTGAGGCTAGTACATTGTAACATGACGGAATATCAACATGTGACGCTAGTGTCTTATATTATGACATATATCGACGTGAGTCTAGAACATTGTAACATAGCGGAAAATCAACATGTGACGCTAGTGTCTTATATTATGACATATATCGACGTGAGGCTGCAACATTGTAACATGACTGAATATCAACATGTGACGCTAGTGTCTTATATTATGACACATATCAACGTGAGGCTAGAACATTGTAACATGACGGAATATCAACATGTGACGCTAGTGTCTTATATTATGACATATATCGACTTGAGTCTAGAACATTGTAACGTGACGGAATATCAACATGTGACGCTAGTGTCTTATATTTTGACATATATCGACGTGAGGCTACAACATTGTAACATGACTGAATATCAACATGTGACGCTAGTGTCTTATATTATGACATATCGACGTGAGGCTAGTACATTGTAACATGACGGAATATGAACATGTGACGCTAGTGTCTTATATTATGAAACATATCGACGTGAGGCTAGTACATTGTAACATGACGGAATATCAACATGTGACGCTATTGTCTTATATTATGACATATATCGACGTGAGGCTAGTACATTGTAACATGACAGAATATGAACATGTGACGCTAGTGTCTTATATTATGACACATATCGACGTGAGGCTAGTACATTGTAACATGACTGAATATCAACATGTGACGCTAGTGTCTTATATTATGACATATATCGACGTGAGGCTAGAACATTGTAACATGACTGAATATCAACATGTGACGCTAGTGTCTTATATTATGACATATCGACTTGAGGCTAGTACATTGTAACATGACGGAATATCAACATGTGACGCTAGTGTCTTATATTATGACATATATCGACGTGAGTCTAGAACATTGTAACATAGCGGAAAATCAATATGTGACGCTAGTGTCTTATATTATGACATATATCGACGTGAGGCTGCAACATTGTAACATGACTGAATATCAACATGTGACGCTAGTGTCTTATATTATGACATATATCGACGTGAGGCTAGAACATTGTAACATGACGGAATATTAACATGTGACGCTAGTGTCTTATATTATGACATATATCGACGTGAGGCTGGTACATTGTAACATGACGGAATATCAACATGTGACGCTAGTGTCTTATATTATGACATATATCGACGTGAGGCTAGTACATTGTAACATTACGGAATATCAACATGTGACGCTAGTGTCTTATATTATGACATATCGACGTGAGGCTAGTACATTGTAACATAACGGAATATCAACATGTGACGCTAGTGTCATATTATGACCTTTATCGACGTGAGGCTAGTACATTGTAATATAACAGAATATCAACATGTGACGCTAGTGTCTTATATTATCACATATATCGACGTGAGGCTAGTACATTTTAACATAACGGAATATCAACACCCTAAGCAGTCATCTTCCATGATGACACTGAATATTTGAGACATGATTAATTAAAACATCACATTCATCTGTGTTTTTGAGGTAATTCCTTGTTGTGGAATAACAGCAATTATATGTACAGACGAACTACTTTTTTATTTCATTTAGTTTGCATAGTGCTATTGATGATCAAATATAGTGGTCGGACGATACACCGATGCATCGGTGGATCGCGATATTTTACTTCCCGATACAAGTATCGATCGCCGTCGCACACTAAGTAAAAAATATCAATTTATACCTTAAATGTTTACTTTAATTGCTGTTACACCAAACACTAATTAGTAGTGATATTTAGTACTGTAAAAGTAATTATTTTGATACATTGCGCCACTGCCAAATGTAAATCGTCAGTGTGCCAGGTATTTGGCTATCCTGTCTATGAAAAAGATGGCTTACATGCCAGAGATAAGTGCACATACAAGTATCGTGATACTTATCGGATCGTGAACAACGTATCGTGTTATGTATCGGATCGTGAACAACGTATCGTGATATGTATCGGATCGTGAACAACGTATCGTGATATGTATCGGATCGCACAGTTGGTGTATCGTCCCAGCCCTGATAAAAATGTGTAAAAAATCGCAAAGAACAATGAACGTCATGTCTGGAGATTACAACATGCTGGCAACTTGAGGACGTTATGTCTGGAGATTACAACATACTGGCAACTTGATGACGTTATGTCTGGAGATTACAACATGCTGGCAACTTGATGACGTCATGTCTGGAGATTACAACATGCTGGCAACATGATGAGGTTTTGTCTGGAGATTACAACATGCTGGCAACTTGATGACGTTATGTCTAGAGATTACAACATGCTGGCAACTTGATGACGTTATGTCTGGAGATTACAACATGCTGGCAACTTGATGACGTCATGTCTGAAGATTACAACATGCTGGCAACCTGATGACGTTATGTCTGGAGATTACAACATGCTGGCAACTTGATGACGTTATGTCTGGAGATTACAACATGCTGGCAACTTGATGACGTCATGTCTGGAGATTACAACATGCTGGCAACTTGATGACGTTATGTCTGGAGATTACAACATGCTGGCAACTTGATGACGTCATGTCTGGAGATTAAAACATGCTGGCAACTTGATGACGTCATGTCTGGAGATTACAACATGCTGGCAACTTGATGACGTCATGTCTGGAGATTACAACATGCTGGCAACTTGATGACGTCATGTCTGGAGATTACAACATGCTGGCAACTTGATGTCGTTATGTCTAGAGATTACAACATGCGCTGGCAACTTGATGACGTCGTATATTGGACGACGTTATGTTTGAGAGGGGAATGTTCAGTGAGGTATTCCCCATAGATGTAGCTTGACAACGCAGTGTTTTATTGTCAGATAAACACTTCCCACTCGTCGTTTAGTTCTTATTTAACATAGGAGTTGTATTACTTTGGTACGACATGTCAAAATGATAATGATAATTTATATGCAAACAAACCCCGAAGATATTAGATGAGATATATCTTCATGTCTGGATAGCCGTCATGGGGAACCGATACATAGTATACCTTGAGATCATATACTTGAGTTGAAGTGACAAATGCCATGCACTTCCATGTAGATGTCCGCTGAAACTCGCATTAAACAGGCTTCAAATTGTATTTTGGTGAAAATGTTAACTGATTAAAAAAATACTTTAGAGACATATAAAACTACTTGTCTGGGTTCAACACAGGGAAATGATACCCTAGAGACACTTGACCGGAGCTTCTGTGTACACAATGTTGGTTTTTAATATCATATTTTTTTAAACACGGGGACGATTGTCATGTGCAAATAAACAAGTGAGAGTGCTTTTAGGGGAACCGTCATCATTGGCACAGTGTGACGTGAGAGTGCTTTTAGGGGAACCGTCATCATTGGCACAGTGTGACGTGAGAGTGCTTTTAGGGGAAACCGTCATCATTGGCACAGTTTGACGTGAGAGTGCTTTTAGGGGAACCGTCATCATTCGCATAGTGTGATGTGAGAGTGCTTTTAGGGGAAACCGTCATTATTGGCATAGTGTGATGATTGAAAGTCATTTTTTGATGTCAGTGTTTTCAGTAAAAGAGTAGATGTTTGCTATTTATTACAAAGCTTGGACGTATTCTGGCACACTGGCAACATACTAATAGACTGCAAGCACAGTAGTGGCACTGATGCCATCAAACGTTTTTATTCCGGAGCATCCTACATGGCAATAACTACAAATAAGGAGAGGAGACCAGATATCACACGAGTGCAAGTGGACGGTGTCTTAGTATTACAATGATGGTGTGTGGTTCAGTTTTCGTTTCAAATGTATATTGGACTATGTTGAGGTAGTGTGGTTGTCACTGATGGGCGTACTCGCGACTGACTCCGAGTATAAATTGTGTGTATTTCACTTCCTCGTGTACATGCAGTTTGTGGACAGACACTACATTAGTCGTGTGCTGCATTGCTGTCGTTCGGTCCATGTAAGTAGTACATTCTTCGGCTCTCGTTGATGAATGGATGTTCGAATATTTCTCTGTGATAGCGTTTATGTCAACCAGGTGTAGTTTGAGGGAGTGAGAAAAAACACAGAGACAGTTTTGATGTAACAGCCCTGTCAATGGAATCGTCGCAGTCAGTTGTATAGACACGCATATAATAGCATTGAACGTTTTCTGTACGGGGAAATTAATTGTAACCTATGGGGTTACTATTTTAAGACATGAATTTGAATGTGTATAATAAAATCGAATATATATTCTAATTAGCTGACAAAGGAAATATTTTAAGAGGAATTTATTTCTTGTCTTGAAACATTAAGGGGAATAATGATAGATGTGGTCATATGGACAACACTTGTAAATGTTTCAGTTATAACCCAAATTAAATATGGAAACAACAGCTAAAATGTGTTTCAAGAGGCACTTCTACAAACGATGTTGTACAATAAGGGTCTCTTTTGTCCAAAAGAACGTTATTGTAAACGTTCACATGACCGAGAACTAGCATTAAAATAGCATTACATTTGGCGACCACACAAGACATGTAGTTTAAAGCAGTAAGGCTACTTGTGAAAAGTTAATCTTTGATGACAGATTTGCTGAAAGCCTTCCTCAGAAGGATACAAAAAATCAGTTCTCTTTCACGCAGTTGAACTACGTTTTTGTACTTGATAATACTACGAATAACTACGGAAGCGTAGTAGTGCCACATGTTAACATATTTTTATCACCTACGTAGGACTTTTTATCTCCTAGATTTTATCTTCGGAACGAAGATGTTTATCTACTAAAGCGGAAGTTAATTTCTATAGTTGAATGATACATTTGGTTTTAGCTCAACGCAAAGCCGGTTTGGAGATAGAAGCATGGTTTTCAAGTTATCAATGCATGTTTAAGCGTTTTGGTTTATTAGGGGATTAGTTTGTGGTCGAAAGCAAAATGAAATAACTTGTCCAGACAGCTCCACTTTACGTACATGCTTTATATACATACGACTGAACTGATCCAAACCGTTCGATGTTGAAATGGAGATTATCTATATTTCCATGTCTCATCTACGGTGTTTGTCAGACCGCCCTACCTATTTGCTTGGCAATAGTATAATTATATATATATTCATGGGAGACAGTTGTCGGAAGAGGATTTTGTCTTCCAACCACGTCCGTTCTGTTCTTTCACACTTGGAAATATAGAACGTCAACGACAGAGAATAATCAGTGTCGATTATCTGCCGAGTCAGATTCCACTGGGCATAAAAGGCAAATTATGGGTGATAATTATGTGAATGGATCATTGAAAAGCAGTGATGACACCAGGTGTTCAATATTTGCATGACTTTGTTAGGTATCTGCAAAAACAAACAATACAAATTAAACATTGTGAGTAGTTGAAGGTGTCCAAGCCTTATTTCTACAAACAGTTACATAAGCACATGGTCTACTCCAACTCTCCTCAAATTTCCATATCTAAATAATATTGCCATACATTCTACAACGGAATTGACGTAATAGTTATGATTAAAGATAATGAATATATATAAGTATTTATTTTCTATCAGCCCACTTCCAGTGTTTACATGAAAATATACTCAAGTCCATTAGAAGCTTTACACATGAAAACATATTTCGGAGATCCAAACTCATAGATAGTAATAATGCATCCACATGCATAAACAATCGACCTTACGCAACATCATTTCAACTCTATATTCTCAGCATATTTATGTCTCATGTCTCATGTAGTGCCCAAATTTGTAAAACCACGAGCTTTGCTTAGCGCGAGGTTTCAAATGTATAAATAAGAGGTATCTAATCTACACTGGGACTCGTTCAAATTTCTACCATGACGTCAAGAGCGGTTTAAAAAAGCGGTTTCAAGCAAATACTTTTTCAAAAGGATGTTGTCAAATGCCTCCCCAAAATATATGTATTAATTTCATCGCAACCTGTTGCATATTGCACTATTTGGACTCATCCATGTCATTTCTCTGAAATTGACATGGCATCTCCCATTGTAGGGGTGACAGGCTCTATAAACAGTGAAAGGAATGCTGAATGAATATATGTCGCCAACAAACTTTATTAAGTAAGTGGAGTTTAGTTTTTTGAAGTTGTACATATGTAGCAGTTGGTTTGAAATAATTCCCCAACAGTAAAACATATAACGAATGACTATCTCTCCACCACGAACTTTGACCCGGCTGAATTTTAGCTGCAGACGACAAGACGAGATATTCTGCTCATTTTTGTGACGGATGATTATATGGCCTGACGCAGTGGTTTATTTTGGTTTTGTGTGAGTGTGAGTTCTGAAATAGATTTCATCATGTTTGATTAGGTGTCGTTCTGATAGCGATCGTGTACAATGTACTAATAGGATATCGGCGACCATTGTTATATGTATCGATGCGTAGGCTGTCGAAAAATCGCTGGTTTTTAATGTGCGGAGGATTGATTTAAAAGGGGTATCAGCAGTGAAAAAGGATAACTCTTTTTAACCAATCAGAATCAAGCTTTCTTCATTGTCATGGTAGAAGATTGGTTTAATAACAATAACAAACGGAATTTCCGTTACATTACACTTTGGTTTGATACAACTAATATTTTAACGCATCTAAATTTCTTTTGGCCGTGTGTCTTGTCAAACGAAACTGTAACGCGGTGAAAGAATTACATAAAATATAGTATTTTTGAGTGCATGTTGATCATAATTGTTAGCCTTGAATATAGTTGCAACGGGTATCGTTTTGATCACTGATGCGTCCATGTCTTGAAAGCTTTGATTACAACCTAGGACGTCTAGTTTTTAAAGCTTCACTATGCCATTTGATCTTGTTTTAAACGCATTTTTCTAGCATTTCAACAGTACACTTGAATGTTATACTTGCGCACAGTGAAGTATCTGTGTGGAATAATTATTGAATCTTATGGTTGTTGTGAAAAGTGAAGTGTCTGTGTCGAATAATTGTTGACAACATTATGCTTGTTGCTCTTTTGAAGTGCTAAGATAGATACATTAACGATGCAAGAACATTTGTCTTTTTGTTATAATTTCGTGCATCCCTGTTTACAGTAAAATGGATTGATCCATGTGCCTACTTTGTCTAACTATCAAAGTCACTCATCCCTGACTATACCTGGGTTGTCTAATAGCTACTGTTTACCTGCTTTAAAAATTTAGACGAAGCGGGTTCATGAGAAAGCTTTACTGAGGCATTGAATGTTGTAACTTTGATAAAACAACTTTTAAGCAAGAGTCATATGACACTGTTTGTGACATGTAGACTCTAAAGGCCGTAGATGCAGGATTAATACTCACATAAAGGGACAGTTGACTATTTGAAAGTTGAAGTCATCGGTTCTTGTCACACAGTCTTGTGGAGATTTGTGTTGTGACTCTGAATGCATAGATCGAAATATGAAATGGACGATGTGGTCTTACTGGTCTGCTCTATTTCTAGTTTAGGTGGGTAAATCGGTGGAAGGGAATTGACTATTTAATGGATATTGTACGATATCAGATCATTGCTACACCGGAAGCTTAAGTTAGACTTCTTGGCCAAATCACCTTGTTCTGTTCAGAAATTCCCATTCACACGCATAAAGAAACAGATCCGCAAGACGGGGAGCACAATGGGTGCCTATGGGGATTGTCCAAATGCACGCCAATCCTCTGAGTTTTTGAGATCCAAAAGGTATGCTTTTCATGTAGGACAGCCACACTTTAGATGACACAAAAGAGCGTTTTCTTGATGGTTTTAAGGGTTATGGTTAATGAGTGAGATGGGGATTTGGTGGTACATTTGGTGGACCCATCAACATACATGTATCTCTCTCTGTACGGCCTTTTATAGGGCGTTTGATCCAGTACAAAAGGAATAAATATGTCTTCAGGTTTTAGAGTCAAGTCAAAAGTTGAAAATATTGATGCATATTTTGGGCAGATTTCCTCCTCAATTAACAAACTGGCCTTATATGTGGCATTATTTGATATGTCGCTTACACCAAGTTCTTTGATCAAACAATTAATGTAGTGATGCTTTCATACAATGGTGATGTTATTTGAGACATTATCAGTGGACAATCAACTACAAGCTTTTCATGTAGGACAGCCAAACTTTGGATGACATATTTAAAACTATCTAAACCTTCATGGGCGTGCTTTCAGTGTCCAGCATTCACCAGGTACCTTTTGTTTATTTATGCCAGATAATGGTAGACTCAACTATTATTGAATGTCATACTAAAACGACGAGGACATGACACTCTTGTTGTGTGGCAGTAGAGACGGATGTAAATATATTTGTAGCAGCAAGTGATTGCAGTTTTAGCGGCATTCTGCGTCATCTAGTAAAGTTATCCGCCTTTGTGTAAACGTGAACATGATCATTTTGAAAAAGTCTGGAGATGGGACTGTTTCTGGAAGGTTACCTGTACCTATTTAAGAGCAAACAGGGTGCGATTCGATGCCTTTTTCGACTTGACTGTAGTCTTATCTACTTGGGAAGTGTGGATTTGACACCTTTCTGAAAAACAACAACTTTCTTCAAGGTTCCAACATTATTCTGCCCTTAAGACAGTGACAAATTCTGGACATAAATTATTAAATGGCGTATTACGTACTTCTGCTGCCATTTATTTGACCGGTGGTAGTACCGTTTGTGATTGAAAACCAAAAACTGTGTATGTGAATGTATATTTTTTACTTCACATCGATTTCGTGTGGGCATTTGCTGATTTCAAAATTCAGTTCTGTACGTATTGATAAGTGTGCATTCTATCCCCGTATTTTTAAACAGGATTATTGTGAAATCAGTATCTTTAAATAATGAATTTAAGGTTGAGAAATTTGGTAAGTCTCCAAGTGAGGAGGAAATCAGGGTTTCAGGAAAATCAGAAAATTGGGTAATATGTTATTGCAAAGCTAATAAAAAGGCAAAGCTCAAGAAGTCTTTTCAGCACTAACAGCTGATATCAGTTCAACTTATGATGAGGTAAAAAGGGCTATTTTGAAAGCTTATGACTTGGTATCTGGAGCATACAAGAAAAGATTTAGACAAGTAAAGAGGTGATGATACTTCTACTTGTATGTGGAGTTTGCAGGGGAAAAGGAGACATTGTTTATCGAAGGATGTTGATCTGAATTTTGACAAGTTGAGGCAGCTGAGTTTGTTGGAATGTAATGCTGAGACTTGTCTGGATGAACAGAAGGTAGATCAGTTACACCAGGCTGCAACCTTGACAGATGATTACTTTGTTACTTATAGTGGTATTTAGGCGGTATGGTTACTCTCCCAGGATTGGCCAGGGGAATCCCAGAACAGGGCAGTCGGTACTAGTAATCTTGTTCCACCGGTTCAAATTCTGACAAGTCGGGTAGTTCACTCCCTACGAGATCAGATACCCCAGCTGGTTCGAAACAGAATTCAGGTTTGTCGTCAGGTTTGATGTAGATATTGCCACAAGCCAACTCGTTTGGTCACAAAAATGACCCCGTGTCTTTGTGAGTGTCAAGTCCTTAACACTGAGAAATAGGATGTGTTTGGGTGTTCAGCTGCCTAAGGAGGAGCACTTGCCGACTTTTATTTCGAAAGGTTTTGTATCACTTAAAGTTGATAAATCCACATGTACGTTTCAGTTAGAAATACTCTTGTTACAATATCAACACACCCATTCACTTCAGACTTCACTTCCTGTATTGCTGTAGGAAAACTGATAATACAACTTTGACATATTGATTAAATAAAGGGATTGATTGATTATCCCATTTACTGATGGTTTATCGATCACTGTTTATTCATATCATACATCCGTGTGCCTTGTGGACATATTCATATCCACGTGTAGTTGCAGCCTTTGGAATGACTACCCACTGGTGGACGATTGTGCTGGTGTGCTTTCGACTGATGAATAGCATGGTAGACATGAGAAGCACACGACAACATGCACAAGGTCAGACACTACTTTGTTTTTCTGTTCAGATTATATATGTGTTGTTTTATCAAGGTCAATGTAACCTTATGCTTCACTATAGATTGAGTATATACAAATCATAATCATGATATGAACTGTTATATCCCTGATGTGCAAGAATGTATTTAGTTTATCTTCAGTGTACCACACCAGTATCATTGACGCGCTACCCAACGAATGTATTATTTGGCCTCTAGTACCTACATTTGTCCCAATGATGCCACGTGGTCCTGTGCACAGGCCACAAATCAGGTGAAGTAAGTAACGTCGTAAGTAATCTTGTTCGAAATGTGCCACTGTTCACCAAGAAGTAAGTGGGTACTCGTTAGGATGAGATGGTTATGTGGCTGTTAATCTTCTAGCGCCTCACAGTCAGCTTGAGTGGCATACTCCCCAGGGAGCTGAGAATGAAAATTGAGTGCACACTGATCCATTGACCGGGGTAATAATATTGTAGCTCTATGAGCATCCACATGGTTATGGAATTTGGCGCATTATAAATGCACTTGTATTATTATCATTATTATTATTATTAATACAGGCCGAGTACTCGAATGTCACTGTCGCAACAAGCCCTGTAACGCCACGAGATACTGTAGCGGAAACTGCGACACAGGCTGGTATGGAAACTACTGTCAAAAACGTAAGTCAAATGAGATTTTCAAGCTTAAAACTGTAAGTATGCATGAAAATGTTTCTGAGTACCCCAGTATTGTGCTTGCTTGTTGACCAAATAGTAATGAAATGCCAACATATATTAAATGCATCCAGTTTCATAGATAACATGTATGTTCGTTGCACAACATTGTTCATTTATCTTAAGGTATTAACTGCTCAGTATTATGCGTACAAGTATGTCTGTTGCATAATGACGTGAGACCCATTATATTTTCCATTATTTGTACAATATGTTATGATAGGGCCATATGTAATGTTTTATAGGTGCTGACCATTCTGCAATAAATATCGTCGGTTTCCAGTTTCCAGTTTCCAGTCTTATGTTAATGTTTATTGTTTTGTATACATCAGATCTCTGATGTCGTGTCGCTGCATTTCGTTCTTTCATCTCACCAGAAAATGTCGCGTTACATGGCACAGCGACACAGAAGAGCACTTACAATGTCAATAATAGTGACACAGATAACAAGCATGTATATTTCAATGCTGGTTTGGCTCTTGACGGCAACACCATTACAAGATTCTACTCTCTGACATGCGCACATGCTGGACCCGAAAGAAACTCATGGTGGAATGTGGCACTATCAAACGACCATCAGATAAAATACATCACAATCTACAATCGGGAGGAACATGCAAGTAAATTGTGCATTTCTGTCTCAAACATAGCGAGCATCCTTAGGTCACCACTAACAAGAAAACCCAAGCATATTTTCGCATTCTTAATGTCATAAACAGCTGTACAACAGGAAAAAATACTTACCGCTGTTCGGAGATAATTAAGTACTAACAGGACACGCCGACTTAATATATGAACTTCCAATGACTAATCACTTCTGTCGGAATTCCAAGTTTTGAAACTATAAAAGAGTGTCAAAACCAAAGAAATCCAAAGCTCGAGATGCTCTATACTACATACAATCAACATTTCTACAGTTTGAATAACTGTATGACATCAAAGGTGACGTCACTACTTGCATGTACATACAACACATGCATACCAGACCCGTGAAGATCCGGGGTAGAACAGGTCTTCAGCAACCCATGCTTGCCGTAAAAGGCCACTGTGCTTGTCGTAAGAGGCGACTAACGGGATGGGGTGGTCAGGCTGGCTGACTTGATTGATACATGTTATCGTATCCCAATTGCGTAGATCGATGCTCATGATGGTAATCACTGGATTGTCTGGTCAAGACTCGATTATTTACAGACCGCCGTCATATAGCTGGAATTTTGCTGAGTGCGGCGGTAAACAACATGAAACAAACAAACATGCAGACTAAGATACATAAGTGTGCATGCCTACATTTATACATACACGCATACCGCCGTCATATAGCTGGAATATTGCCGGCGTTAAACAACAAACAAACAACAACATACACGCATGCACACGAACAACATACTTCACTGCATACCAACGTGACTCCTACACGCAATCGCACAGTGCACATCTTGCCCGCAACATCCAAACATCAGCATCGAATTCACACACCCTATACCAAACATGCATGCGTAATATCTACCAACTCATTCATCCGTCATCCACCCTAAACTACGCCCATGCCGCACCCCGTTATAAATCATTTAGAATACCAATAAATTGAATGTAAGTCCTCAAATATTTTCACAACCTTGTTTTCCTATTTGTTTATTTGTCGGTCACTGGATCTTCTGGTCCATGGATCGATCACGTGCGTTGTTTGTTTACAAGCCGCCGTCGCCAGGCAGGAGTACTGCTGTGCTGCGTCAGGCAACAAACACTTAATACTATTTGCTTCATGCAGATTGTGTGAGTGGCGGGTTCTGCCGGTAGGGCAGGACATGCTTACCATTTTCACGAACTGACTTTCAGTGATCCATCCTTATAATTTTCACCGCTATTTTAACTTTTACGCTCAATGGAATATGTTTCTGTTTATCATCTTGCGTTGATGTTGTATTCATGTAGTTAGACCACTGATGTATAACTCTTGTAAGTGTACCTTAATCCATCTTTCAAGCCTACACCACAACCGGGCTGCCTCGGTATAAACTTTGTATTAAGGGGGCAATATGTCGCCCCTCATTGCTGCACAAGCTGAGTTCTTGCTGACTCCCCGCTCTGTTTTGAAACACTTACATGTCGTTATATTTATTCACATCTCAAATCCCGGAACAGCACAGGGTAACCGACAGATGACAAGTAATATCCAAATTGTTATACTCATAATTGGGGTCGCATATTTGGAACCGATAACGCAGTCATCTTGGAATATACCTGGCATTACCTGGCAATAGACCACAGAAAGCACCCTTTTCTATTAATTAGAAGCGTGAAAATACTATTAATTAAAAACACATCATCAACATATACCATCTCTAACATTTTACTGACAACACATCATTATCTATATCATGATGTGTTATCAGTCAAATGTTAGAGACTTAAAAGACGTTATGCATTTGATTGTATTCTGAAGGTACATTTTGATGAGTAGGAACTGATGCTGTGCTGTATCTGATTCATACAGACGCCCAGAGACGGAAAGGAATGGAAGTTCAGGTGGGCGGGAAGCGATGTTTCAAATGGGACAATACATCTACTCCTGATACCGTCTGGAATGTTACCTGTAACAAAACTCTGACAGGAAGAAATGTTACAATAACAACTCCTTCAGCCTTTCTCAGCCTATGTGAAGTACAAGTGTTTGGTGAGTTCGTTGGAGCACCCTTCTCTCTTTCATCTATCGAAAGTTAGTAAATTACAAAATGTGTCCATGTTGATTTGATCTACTAACTAGTGAGTGAATATGGTTTTACGCCGCTTTAAGAAATATTCCAGCACCAGAAATGGGCTTCACACATTGTACTCATGTGGGGAATCGAACCCGGGTCTCCGGCGTGACGATGAACGCTTTAACCACTAGGCTACCCCACCGCCCCTAACTATTATAAGCCGAATCACAATGACTCTTAAATTGAAACTTAAATATTATCACAATATTTGATTTTCTAACCTGGTCATTGTAGTATTTCCCCTACGCATTTTCAGTAGGGCGCAACGCTCTGCCCTTTTCATGCCAAGTATGACTTCAGGTGTACAGAACACGGTGACCGTGTGGGTGTTGGTAGTGTACGTCGTATGTACAAGTTTGTATCACTATTCAGCAGGTCAAAGTTAGCCCACAGTTAGCCTAACGCTTAGTATGAGTTATATCATGTGTAGATCGTAGCTGTGTGATTAAGACGCAATGTGAAGAAAATATTTAAGTTTTCAGAAATTGATTATTTTAATCGTGGTGTGTGTGGCTGCTTGTACTATTTCGGACTGATGCCGATTTATAGCCTACTGAGATACCATGCCGCAGTGTAAGATGAATACCCCAGTCAGACAATATACTGACTCCGACCCGACCAGTCCTTGTTTAGCCCCTTAATGCCGAGTACCAGACAGGGTAACAACAAGTACCATCTTTTACCATATTTTGGTATGACGCGGCCGGGGATCGAACCCCGGACCTTCCGTTCTCCAGGCGGACGCTCTACCACTAGACCACGGAGGCTGTTCTCCTACACTGGAATATGCGGTCAACTCACTTGGGACCGACAGTGAAATAACAAATGAAATAGATTTGATTCGTTACTTAATGAACTCTATTTTATTACATATTGAATAATGCAACATGATAAGCTCATATGTCTGTCCCGATACGTTTGAAATACTGTTAAATAACGGCCTCAGACCGAAATCACTAGGAATGTATCTTCATGGTTTAGTTTGTAGTGACTTCTGGTTTGGAAAAGAGTGCGACAAGCAGTGCAACTGTTTCAACGAGTCGGAGATATGTGACAAAGTAGAAGGTCAGTGCACAAGCGGATGTCCACCAGGGTTTAATGGAACAGATTGTCTTCAAGGTGAGGGAACAACAGATTGGTGTCATCTGAAAAGAATATTCATATTAATAATCTCGTGTACGATCTCAACCATATGTGAGCATGCATGAACCACTCGCATGTTTGGATAATAGGTCTCAATAACGATCAAATAGCCTAAAGACAAACATACAACAGAAATGGTTTCTTACAGAATGTGTAAGTGGCACCTATGGCTCGAACTGCACTTTCTCGTGTGGACACTGCGTGAACAACACCTTCTGTGACAGAACTGACGGCATCTGTCCCCACGGCTGTGACGACGGGTGGACCGACGCTACATGTGACAAGGGTAGGATGGAAATCATGTGTGACAGTCACAGGATTCCCAAACAATAGGATTTCTTTTAAATGTTTAAAGCCAGTGCTTCTAGACATTTCTTTCACTATAAGCAGGAGTCTTGCAATATTTCCGGGACCAAGAATACATACTTTTCCAGGCCGTCCAGTGAAACAAATCTACTTCACTACATTAATAATGAAATGCAGTTTCCGCAACTTTTCTCAAAATACTCCATTCACAGCTTGCAATGGCACATATGGTAAGAACTGTACGGAGGAATGTGGACGCTGTAACGGAACTAGCTGCAACCACGTCGACGGCACCTGCCCCAACGGCTGTCTGTCGGGTTGGAATGGAACGACGTGTCATGATCAGACTGAGCGTGAAGGTTAGAGGCATTATACTGTAATTGTATTATATATCATTGTAGAGTCGACGTTCTTGAACAGTTACCTTCTTCACAGCAGGAAGTGTTTGTATTGGAAGCATTATCCTTCATCTTTACATAAGACACATATTCCCATAGTCATGTTGCAGGAGCCGTGACAGTCGCAGATCTAAGATCGCTTCGTGAAACGAGGTCCATCTCTTTTATTCAGGTTTGGATGACAATGGCGGAACATCTATTTTTGGGATGACCAATCTCGTGGTTGGTGTGGCATTGACTGTAGTAATCATCGTTGCTGTTGTTGTTGCTGTGATATTGCTGAAAAGGTATGTTAGAAAGAAACCTACAGCAAATAAAGATAACCACTGGCATATGCACAGCGTTCAAAGAAACCTCCTTCTCCAAAAGACATGGGCATAAAACGTATATTGCGAATCATGCAGGTATCTCCCTTGTATTACAGGAGACAACTGAGATCTGACAGTCACACAGCCCCATATGTTCCAGGTCAAGTGTTTAGTAAGTGGTTTTACATATCCGTACGTTGTAGTGATAAATCTTCTTCTATACCTGAATAATTGTGTTATACATTGTTGTTAAACTCAGGGGTTGCATCTTCTAATTAACCGGAGGCAGCTGTAACCTGTCGAGTGGAGGTAACCAGCAACAGGACATTGATACCATGCAGGTAACTGGTCCATAACTAAGTTCGATAATCACCCGGAAACTACTGCTAAATGTATTAACGAAGTGTGCGTCTTTCAGATGTTGAGGATGAGGACGAGGCGTTCTCTGTGGAGGTAGAAGTTGACTTTACTGAAGATGAGGATGCAACCTACTGCAACTGGGTCTCCCCCTATGTCGTGCTGGAGAAACTGGCTCAGTACATAAAAAGGAAACAAGAGGACGACACGTCCTTTGAAAATGAATACAAGGTAACTAATAATTACGTTATACTATCCCGTTTTTTGTGCTAAATTGGTTTGTATTCAACGATAACGTGATAACTATTAAATTCTGATTTTATGAAAACTAAACAACGCAACCTCTTTATTAATTTACATATTATGGAATCTAATGGAGTCCATAAGTTGTACTTAACCCGCTCCAATGCGATGTAACGGTGTGTATATCATTAATCCAATGAACCTCCAGATGCTTCCGTACGGGATCAGAGGCCACGTTGAAGAAGGAAAAAAGCCTGAAAACAAACCGAAAAATAGATTTGCTGCTTTGTACCCATGTAAGTGTTTAAGGTGAACTCAAAATGTGAATATATTTTAACAAATATTTCATTTACACAAAAAACATAACAAACACGAATATCGTCTTGAAGCACAGGGTGGAATTATTTTTTCTTTGCAATTTCTGATTTTTCACAAAGACTAAAAGGAGTTAACTTTTCACATCTCAGACGATGAGTCGCGAGTGATTCTTGAGAGCAGTGGAAATGCTACATCAGGCTATATCAACGCTAACTACATTCAGGTTAGTGCTTTCGTATCAGATCCTTGCATAGTAAAACAGAGATCTAAGGATTTTATTTAATTCGTATAGCTGTTTATATAGCTGTCATTTTTCACAATCCGTTTCGGACAGAAAAAACAAACATATCCATTGTACATTTTTCGAAATTCAATAATCCCATATTAAATAGAGAGGAATTCAAAATACAGTCTACATTAGTGTTGTCAGACACATTATTGTAATACATGTCTGTGTCATGTTTAGGATACTACATTTTGCGTTTTCTCGTTTGTTGAAGGGCTTCCCTGATGGTTCTAAATACATCGCCACACAAGGTACTTCTTCTCTCTGTTTCAGTGTGTGTCGTATGTATAATGCTTGAAAACACCAAACTTGCACATCATGGTGATAATATTGACGTTATTGGCCAAGAAAAGTTCTGTTTTTCAATCGACTAATGGAGAAATGCCAATAATTCACACTTTTTGGTGATGCTCTGAGAGAATATACACCACGCCTTCATTTACACATTGGTAGTTCCTCTTTCATTACGACCACATAATTATAAACAGGTCCTACGCCAGCGACAGTGGGGGACTTCTGGAGAATGGTTTGGCAGCAGCGGGTGGGGAAAGTAGTCATGGTGACACAGCTGAAGGAGATGCAGAAGGTACATGAAGGTCAAGCTGTAGAATTTGATTTTGTTTTGTTTTTGCTTAAATATATACTAGGACAAGGTAAAACATATCCAAGCTATATCCTTTAAGTAAACATATGTTTTAAAGTCGAACTTTCATTGTGGACATGATGTGTCATACAATCGGCAGATCCTCATTTATCCATAAAGTGGGGGAGGTCGGGTAGCCTAGTTAAAGCGTTCGCTCGTCACGCCGAAGACCCGGGTTCGATTCCCGACATGGGTACAACGTGTGAAGCCCATTACTGGTGTCCCCCGCCGTGATATTCCTGGAATTTCCTAAAAACGGCCTAAAACCATACTCACTCACTGACGTATCCATAAACTACTTACAAGAGAAATGTCTTGGACGGCCACAGCTCTGTTACTGCATACTGAAGGAATACATGGGCGAATATGGGACCATTTGTCTCATCCCTGTGCTTCGACTCTTCAATGTTGAATGTAAGTACAAATGGCTGCGGGTTATTTCGATGGTTGACAGGTAAAGTGCGAGCGGTACTGGCCTGAGAAGGACAAAAACAAACAATGCGGCGATCTCACTATAGGACTTGAAACCACGGTGACAAGGACTGACTACACGATCAGGAAACTGACCGTGAAGAATGCCAAGGTATTAAGTTTTCCAATAAGGTAAAGTCAGGTAAGGTAAGGTAAGGTAAGCATTATCGCAATTTTGTGATGACTTTATCATGTAACGTATTGTGCCATTAAGTGTTGTTATGCGCTTGACTCACTATTAATCGTGTCGTCCTTATACCAACTGGTTGTCCTATGTCTAGATTAAGAATTCTGTGCGACCGTACAAGTTGCAATTTTAAGTATTATTTAGAATCTGAAGCATCTATAATAACATATTGGCTTACAGATTGAACTACATTTCGTCTGTCAATGTGACGTTTCGATTTTGGTATCAGTGCATTCTCTATGAAGTGATTTACAAGTGTGTATTACATGCTTAATAGAAATACCATTATCTGTACAAAAAAGCATAAATAAGACTAATTCCTCGTGTCTTTCCCGTCTCTTCATGTTGAATTGTGATTATGTTTATACAGGGACTCTGAAAATTAATTCAATAGGCATCAATGTTTTTCTAACTGACAGTGTTCTAATAACCAGGGGTCAGAGACGAGAAGGGTCCTCCACTTCCAGTTCCTGACCTGGCCAGACCACGATGTCCCATCTGCTCCAGCTCTGGTCAGCTTCTGGAAGAGGATCAAACAGCTGGACGGTGGAGAGGAGGGGCCGTTGCTGGTCCACTGCAGGTAAGAAGTGAACATGAAGGGGGGTTCGGTTGGGGGATGGTGGTGGGGGGGGGGGGGGGGGGGGGGGGGGGAGTGGGGGGGGGGGTGGTAGGGTGGGGGTTTGGGGGGGGGGGTTTGGAGAGAAGGTGGTGAGAGATCAGATGGAGTGGTGATGGATGGAAGGAGTGATGGAAAGAAGGTGGTGATAGTTCATATGGGCTGGCGATGGGTGGAAGGGGCGGTGGAGAGAAGGTGGTGAGAGATCAGATGGGGTTCGCGATGGGTGGAGGAGTGGAGGAGAGAAGGTGGTGAGTGATCAGATGGAGTGGTGATGGATGGAAGGAGTGATGGAGAGAAGGTGGTGAGAGATCAGATGGGGTGGCGATGGTTGGAAGGGGCGGTGGAGAGAAGGTGGTGAGAGATCAGATGGGGTTCGCAATGGGTGGAAGGAGTGGAGGAGAGAAGGTGGTGAGAGATCAGATTGGGTTCGCGATGGGTGGAAGGGGCGGTGGAGAGAAGGTGGTGAGAGATCAGATGGGGTGGTGATGGATGGAAGGAGGGATGGAGAGAAGGTGGTGAGAGATCAGATGGGGTGGCGATGGGTGGAAGGGGCGGTGGAGAGAAGGTGGTGAGAGATCAGATGGGGTTCGCGATGGGTGGAAGGGGCGGTGGAGAGAAGGTGGTGAGAGATCAGATTGGGTTCGCGATGGGTGGAAGGGGCGGTGGAGAGAAGGTGGTGAGAGATCAGATGGGGTGGCGATGTGTGGAAGGAGTGGTGGAGAGAAGGTGGTGAGAGATCAGATGGGGTGGTGATGGGTGGAAGGAGCGGTAGAGAGAATGTGGCGAGAGATCAGATGGGGTGGTGATGGGTGGAAGGAGTGATGGAGAGAAGGTGGTGAGAGATCAGATGGGGTGGCGATGGGTGGAAGGAGTGGTGGAGAGAAGGTGGTGAGAGATCAGATGGGGTGGCGATGGGTGGAAGGAGTGATTCGAGAGAAGGTGGTGAGAGATCAGATGGGTGGCGATGGGTGGAAGGAGTGGTGGAGAGAAGGTGGTGAGAGATTAGATGGGGTGGCGATGGGTGGAAGGAGTGGTGGAGAGAAGGTGGTGAGAGATCAGATGGGGTGGCGATGGGTGGAAGGAGTGGTGGAGAGAAGGTGGTGAGAGATCAGATGGGTGGCGATGGGTGGAAGGAGTGGTGGAGAGAAGGTGGTGAGAGATTAGATGGGGTGGCGATGGGTGGAAGGAGTGGTGGAGAGAAGGTGGTGAGAGATCAGATGGGGTGGCGATGGGTGGAAGGAGTGGTTCGAGAGAAGGTGGTGAGAGATCAGATGGGGTGGCGATGGGTGGAAGGAGTGGTGGAGAGAAGGTGGTGAGAGATCAGATGGGGTGGCGATGGGTGGAAGGAGTGATTCGAGAGAAGGTGGTGAGAGATCAAATGGGTGGCGATGGGTGGAAGGAGTGGTGGAGAGAAGGTGGTGAGAGATCAGATGGGGTGGCGATGGCTGGAAGGAGTGGTGGAGAGAAGGTGGCGATAGATCAGATGGGGTGGCGATGGGTGGAAGGAGTGGTTCGAGAGAAGGTGGTGAGAGATCAGATGGGGTGGCGATGGGTGGAAGGAGTGGTGGAGAGAAGGTGGTGAGAGATCAGATGGGTTGGCGATGGGTGGAAGGGGCGGTGGAGAGAAGGTGGTGAGAGATCAGATTGGGTGGCGATGGGTGGAAGGAGTGGTGGAGAGAAGGTGGTGAGAGATCAGATGGGGTGGCGATGGGTGGAAGGAGTGGTGGAGAGAAGGTGGTGAGAGATCAGATGGGGTGGCGATAGGTGGAAGGGGCGGTGGAGAGAAGGTGGTGAGAGATCAGATGGGGTGGCGATGGCTGGAAGGAGTGGTGGAGAGAAGGTGGCGATAGATCAGATGGGGTGGCGATGGGTGGAAGGAGTGGTTCGAGAGAAGGTGGTGAGAGATCAGATGGGGTGGCGATGGGTGGAAGGAGTGGTGGAGAGAAGGTGGTGAGAGATCAGATGGGTTGGCGATGGGTGGAAGGGGCGGTGGAGAGAAGGTGGTGAGAGATCAGATTGGGTGGCGATGGGTGGAAGGAGTGGTGGAGAGAAGGTGGTGAGAGATCAGATGGGGTGGCGATGGGTGGAAGGAGTGGTGGAGAGAAGGTGGTGAGAGATCAGATGGGGTGGCGATAGGTGGAAGGGGCGGTGGAGAGAAGGTGGTGAGAGATCAGATGGGGTGGCGATGGGTGGAAGGGGCGGTGGAGAGAAGGTGGTGAGAGGTCAGATGGGGTGGCGATGGGTGGAAGGAGTGGTGGAGAGAAGGTGGTGAGAGATCAGATGGGGTGGCGATGGGTGGAAGGAGTGGTGGAGAGAAGGTGGTGAGAGATCAGATGGGGTGGCGATAGGTGGAAGGAGTGATTGAGAGAAGGTGGTGAGAGATCAGATGGGGTGGCGATGGGTGGAAGGAGTGGTGGAGAGAAGGTGGTGAGAGATCAGATGGGGTGGTGATGGGTGGAAGGAGTGATGGAGAGAAGGTGGTGAGAGATCAGATGGGGTGGTGATGGGTGGAAGGGGTGGTGGAGAGAAGGTGGTGAGAGATCAGATTGGGTGGCGATGGGTGGAAGGAGTGATGGAGAGAAGGTAGTGAGAGATCAGATGGGTTGGCGATGGGTGGAAGGGGCGGTGGAGAGAAGGTGGTGAGAGGTCAGATGGGGTGGCGATAGGTGGAAGGAGTGATTGAGAGAAGGTGGTGAGAGATCAGATTTGGTGGCGATGGGTGTGGTTAGAGGTGCTTGAAACTAGTAATGTCCCCTGAAATGTAAGGTGCTTAAATACAATCAGTGATAGTGACATGATACTAGTCAATGAAGGAGTGGTGGAGAGAAGGTGGTGAGAGATCAGATTTGGTGGCGATGGGTGTGGTTAGAGGTGCTTGAAACTAGTAATGTCCCCTGAAATGTAAGGTGCTTAAATACAATCAGTGATAGTGACATGATACTAGTCAATGAAGGAGTGGTGGAGATACTAGAGCGAGAGGGTGGTGGGTGGGGATCGACGTAAAACACGGTATGTCCTCTGAAATATAAGATACCTGAACTAAAGGCAATCAGTAACGGTGACCATGAGATACTTGGCATGTTCGAATGTCAGCGCTGGAGTGGGGCGGACGGGGACGTTCATTGCTCTGGACTATCTGATGGACCAGGCTGAGGCAGAACACAGGGTGAACGTGTTCCAGTGTGTGTCAAGGATGAGACAGGCCAGGATGAACATGGTCCAGACCGTGGTGAGTATGTACACATAAACAGTGTCAACTACTAACTCTGCCCAGCACAGTCAAACCACACAGAAAATAGTTTGTAACAGTTTCGTATTGGTACATGTACACTATGGCAAAACCGGACAACCTTCATAAGAATATGTTTGTCACTACAGGATTGCTTGTTTTATGCATGTATTTCACTCTGTGTGTCAGAATCAATTCGAGTTCGTCCATCTGGCGGTTCTGGAAGCCCTGGAGAGTAGAGACACATTCTACAAAATGACTGATTTTGAAAGCATTTTCGGAAGTGAGAAAAGTGACAGCAAACAGCAAGACACAAGCTTGAAGAAGGAATTTAAGGTAGGGCCGTTTCGCAGATAACAAAATTAAAATAAGATCACAATCACAAAAGATTAGAATGATAAAACATATTAAAAGATTGAAGTTAAAACTTTACAGTTCATTACTCCTAAACGGATCCTCTTTTCTAGCTGAGATTTCAAAAAGAAAAACATCAGCTCGTTCCATTTATGTATGTTTCTCCTTTTAGTCAATTCAATCACAAAGACCACAACAGACGGAAAAAGCCATTTCCGATGCGATGCTTCCAGAAAATGTGTCCAAAAACAAGAACAAGGCCATACTTCCAGGTATCTCGTTTACAGGACGTTTTCTTTGTCGGCATAAAACAAAGGTTCCATGATTTGCCGCAAAATAGTAAAGCGCTCGTGACCTTGTAACTGCCTTTTATCTACCCCCTTGATGAAGCCCCCTTTATCAATTTTATTTAAATAATTCAATGTAATTGATTTCAGGGAACAAGTCACGTCCTTATTTATCCACCCCAGTTGAAGGCTACAACAATTACATCAATGCTGTCACTCTACCAGTATGTTAAACATTCATTTTCTTTAATTTGCTATAGATTCACTGCCTACGTCTATATGATGTTTGTTGTTTAACGCCGCACTCCGCAATATTCCAGCTATATGGCGGCTGTCTGTAAATCATTGAGTCTGGACCAGACAATCCAGTGATTGAAATCATGAGCATCGATCTGCAAATTGGGATACGATGACCAACCAAGTCAGCGAGTCTGACCACCCGATCCCATCAGTCACCTCCTACGACCAGCATGGGTTGTTGAATACTAACTCGGGTTTTCAAGGGAAAAGTCTATATGATCAAACAAGAGATGTTGATTAGAATAATCAGACGGTATGATTAACCTCTAAACTACAATCCGAAACATCTGACTAGTTTTGCAGGAAGATGAAGAACAATATTTCCAACTTTTCTATATGTGTCTAAACTTTAAGGTAGCTTTATTAACTTCAGCTGTCTGAAATAACAGGACTCATATGTTCTGGTGATTGGCCAATGAGATATTGACATAAATATTTGTAAATATTTCCTTTACCGACTCACAAAGAAATAATAATCATGTTCCAACTTTCAACGATTTTTTATGTGACGTTTCAACATATCATCCTGTTTCCTCAAAATATATATTTCCTCCACCGCCAGTCCGTGATGAGGTCCTCCATGCTGATCGCTACTCAGACGCCCATGGAGAACACCGTGGTAGACTTCTGGAGACTGGTGCACGATCACGACTGCTTCACCATTGTGTGTCTGGATGATTCACAGGTAACGTGACCAATGTACCCTCACAGCCCCCCTACACACGCACTGTTGAATAGACATTGTTTTATGTCAAAGAAGTAATGTAAGATGAGTATTTCAATCTTTGTTTAATTTGTATAGTTATGTGATAAATACAGTCCCGGGAAGAAGAGGTACTCAAAGGGCCGTCGTAAGAAGTCACCAGGGTGGTTACAAATTGTAACCTGGTGAATTGTTGACATCGGACTCCGATGGCGGTGAGGCTGCTGATTTTGCCTGACCCAGGTTCGATTATTTACAGTCCGCTGTGATATGGCTGGAATATTGTTGAATATGACACTCACTCAATTGCGAATACGATCCGTGAAAATCCGGTGTATAATAGGTCTTCAGCAACCCATTCTTGCTGTAAGAGGTGACTATGCTTGTCGTAAGAGGCCACGGGATTGGGTGGTCAGGCTCGCTAACTTGGTTGATGTATGTCTTCGTATCCCAATTGCGTGGATCGATGCTCATGATGTCAATCACTGGATTGTCTGGTCCAGACTCGATTAATTACAGACCGCCGTCATAAAGTTGTAATATTGCTGAGTGCGGCGTTAAACAACAAACAAGCAAACAAACAAACGAAGACACAACGACTGTACAAGTGACACACGTGGAATATAGCAACTGATCGGTCCTTAGAATGGCAATGTTCTGAATTACCGAGGCCATGATAAATCCAACATAATCTTTCCTTCAGGATGTTGAGCGCCTATACCCTGGCAGCAAGGGGGTCCTCCAAGCAGGTCCATTCCACATTCAGCATGCCCAAGAAAGAAGTAGGGGAAGTTTAACAGAGAAGACCCTGATGCTGACCAATACTAAACAGGTTGGTGGGATGGGGTAGTCCTTGAGCTTTCTCTCGTCACGCCAAAGATCCGGTTTCATGTCCCCCAATGAGTAAACTATATGAGGTGAATGTTTGGTGTCCTTTCTGGCGATATAGCAGGAATGTTGCTGAAGGTGTTTACTAATTAACTCAGCTGAGATGAGGACAACATTATGGTTAAGACAAACCGATTGCTCGGACAATTTGCCAAACTGTTCCAATTATTTTCAATTTTTCATCTTATTTAGAGGTCTGACTGCTGCGTTTTTAAAGGAAAATCGGCAGAAGGTACAAGTCTGCTGGGCGAAGTGACGACAATAACTGTAACAAAGGTTTATCCCGAGACAACAATGCTATTTCACAAATGTTATATTTGGGATAGCACTTTCTTTGTAAAGTACAGATACTCGTACTTTTGGGGCTTGAGTCACGTTCGGAATTCAAACCCACACGGCCTGAGTGAGTCACCTAATCGCCAGCAGTGGGGGTTCGAATCCCGCAAGGGACTCAACCCCAAAATGTACGAGAATCTGTACTTTACGAAGAAAGTGTTGTCCCAAATATAACATTTGTTACATTTGACCACTTTCTAAATGGCATTGTGTGTTCAATGCTATTTCAGTTCAGCGATTTTCAAACACGTACGTCACGAAGTTTCTACTTGCATTGAAATTATGCCGACACCGCTTTCGTACGGACAAATATGTTTGTATCTTTCTGTGTGTATTCTAACTATTGACTGTAATATATTTCAGCGACGAACTCCTCAGTCTGTCAATGTCCTGAGCCTTAACTCTCTGCTTGTCTCAATGTCGCCCGACACTGCTGGGCTGCTAGAGCTGGTCAACAGAGTGGATACGACACTCAGTCAAGATCAGCACAAAGTCCTCGTCCACTGTGCGTGAGTATCTGATGTTCGATATGTTCCTGTGAGGGGATACAGAGAGATATACAAGTGCTGCTTCAGCACCCTCTCACCACTGAGTCCTCGGTTACACGCGCACACGGAGTGTGGACACAGGAGCCGCTGGCACAGTGAACGACGTGTTTGGGAAGACACAAAAGCATCCTGTGCAAAAGCTGAGAGTATCCTACACTTGAATTCTACTCTCACACGTGATGATGGTTTCAACATTCACCCGAAACTCACATCCGATACCGTCGTTACGTCGTTACCTCCCTAGGCTCTGTTACATAAAGCGTATACTTGAACATAGACATACGACTGTCGTTTACTTCCATATCGACCCCTTAAGATCCAGGGTAGAATAGGTCTTAAGCAACCCATGCTTGTCGTAAAAGGCGACTATGCTTGTCGTAATAGGCGACTAATGTTATCGGAAGGTCAGACTCGCTGACTTGGTTGATGCATGTCATCGTGTCCCAATTGCGTGGATCGATCCTCATGATGTCAATCACTGGATTGTCTGGTCCATACTCGATTATTACAGACCGCCGTCATATAGCTGGAATATTGCCGAGTGCGGCGTTAAACAACAAACAAACGAACAATATAGACGTGCGGCGGTTGTTTCTCTTACACTTGACCTCAGAACTTACAACCGTCGTTATTTCCCAGACACAACTAGTATGCTTGAACATAGACTGTCACAATCTGCATACATAGATGGTGAGGATGTTGTTGAACATGATGTTGATTGATGTTTCAGTGACGGTGCCCGGATGTGTGGGGTGTTCTGCGGTGTCCTGAACACCATCAGCAGATTGAGGCTGGACTCTGTGGTGGACATCTATCTGACCATCAGGGAGCTGCAGTTGGCCAGGCCACAGTTCATACAGGCATTCGTAAGTGCAACTTGAATTGGGAATTATCGGTATGCCCGTCCATAATGTAACTACAAAACGTCAACGCCAGAGAATAACCAGTCTCGATTATCCGCCGATAACAGATTCCTTTGGTCGTCAAAAAGGCAAAATAGCGGTGAAAATAATGTGGATGGATCACTGAGAATAAGTGATGACGCCAGGTGTTCGCGAAAATGGTGAAATGAACCTCGCGACCGGTATCTTCCGCCACCCACACACAATGCAAGAAACATGAACGTTTTCCTTCTAATATCAATGAACATGACATAATAATAACTGTCCTGTCGATATACATGCGTACATAGTTTCATAAAAAATACATAATAGTATACAGCAATGTTTGACAGTCCTTACAAGGAATATACGGAGATATATATTCAATGTGTATTATTCACATCAGGGGTAGATCTGATATATACAAGTAATTGAAACATTTTGTGTTTAATAATGGACACAGTTTAACCTCTGTTGAATAGCGTCGGAACTGAGTGTGTAGAACTGAATGCGTTATATAATTTGAGGCGTAGAAGTAAAAGGATATGAGGATGGAGGAATAAATGAAATGCTAGAAGTAAGTAATGGGGCCACAGTGGGCTTTGCCACAGGCATCATCACAACCGCGTGTACAGTACGACTGCCGTTAGATAGGAAGACCGTACATGTATGTCCGTTTTATCCGGGACGGGCGATAGACCAACCGAAACGTTATACGCATGCGTGTGGTGCAGGAAGAGACTCTGAAAGTGAGACCAAAGTCTCGGACGTCAATGGAGGTCGACGCATCGATCAACAGGAAGTGCTGTGATACGTGTAACGGTAGTACCTCTGCAGCAACGGCGAGCAACCAGTGTCGGTGTCGACATACTGGAAAATGATAAGCAAATAATGTTTGACACTTTATGAGTAACATGAACGAATCGTGGACGATCGAAAGTTAAATCCACAGGATTTTCTTGCCATTTCGGCCATGATGAAGACAGCGGATCCCTTATCGTGATGTCCGGAATGAATAGCACTGGCAGTGCTCGGTGGTCGGATAGTTTAACGGGAAGATGTGGCTATCAGCTTACATTAATATACGCCCAGATAGGAGGTGTAATTTAATGTCAGTAAACTGAAGAGGGGGGTGGACGTATGACTCCTGTCATGATATCTCCTGGCAGTGTTTGGTTATGTCTGTCTACGACTCCCTGTGAAAATGTGTTCCTGACTGAAAGACATGCTGTACATGTAGGTTACTACAACTGTTTACGTTCAGTCTGTCTTTTATAGACAATGACAACACACAGCAATGTCGTATCAGTTTCTTTACTGCGTGTGGGAAGTATGTACTGGTATAACATCCTCACTTCAGTGTACAGTAAACTACGGTTATAACGAACTCAAAGGGACCACTAATTTTAGTTCGTAATAACCGTAGTTCGGTATAAGCATATATACAACATATATACACCAAATGGCCGGGACTAAAAAATAAGTTCGTTATATCGGCAAGTTCGTTATAAGCGTGTTCGTTATAACCATAGTTCACAGTAATTAAAGTTGCGAATCAACAATAACATCTGGCCTCCGGCTTTGCACTGTTCCGATCCGGACTACCAATTGCATGTTTAATCATTAATGTGTTGTTTAAATATAATTTGTTTGTTTTAACTTGAAAGGGATTGATAAATTGGCCTAACTGGCTTATTGAAATACCGCTCCCTGTTAAATATATACATTAGTGTGAAACTTGATGGTTAAGAAGAAGCAATACAAATGATATTAAGGTGAGGTGAATTGGGCTTAACGTCGTGTCCAAGATTATTGCACTTATATAGCGACGTGTGAATGCGTCGTGTGTGTGTGTGTGTGTGTGTGTGTGTGTGTGTGTGTGTGTGTGTGTGTGTGTGTGTGTGTGTGTGTGTGTGTGTGTGTGTGTGTGTGTGCTTTTACTAGACCGGACTAATGCCGATTTTAGAGTGCTACCAAACTGAGATACCATGCCGCAGTTGAACATGAATACCCCCTCAGACACAGTATACTGACTCTGACCAATTTTAGCCCCTTAATGCCAATCGCCAGGCAGGGTAACAACAAGTACTATCTTTTAACGTCTTTTGGTATGACGGGGATCAAAACCCGGACCTTCCCCTCTCTGGGCGGACACTCTACCACTAGACCACGGAGGCGGTCTGTATGTTAAAAAGACCACTAAGAAGGCCAGCAAGTCTACTGTCAGATACATATATAACGTAACACTCTTACATATGTAAACTCAGTGTACAAACCTAACACTATTTTCTATGAAATTATGGACAGACATAAGCATGTTGTGGTTGACAATAATATATGTACAGGTATGACGGAGATATTCTGATACAGTTTCGTCGTGTTTGAGTAGAAGGTAGTTCACATCACATAATATACCTCATTCCGGTAGGGTAAACACTAAATTTGTCTGTTTAAGTTGATGGTTACATATAACAGTTGCTACCCAGAGGGGATGTCGGGTTGAAATAGATCGGCAAACTATGCTGGTTGTGAAAGGGGACACAATGATGGATCGGTTGTACAGAGTGGAGTGGGTGACTTGGTTGCCGGAGTCATTGCGCCTGGAACGTTGCTCATGGTATCAATCACTGTTTTTGTGGTCCAGATTTTAAAATTTACAGACCGCTGTCATATGCCTGGAGAAGCGGTGTTAAATAACACACAAACACACTTGATAGAAGCAACTGAAACGTTCGTATAATATTCACAGCCGCTTTCCATAAAGGTAGTTTGTGGTAGAGCGGTGGTAGTGCGATAATATCAGTGGCTCGACCATGAGAAGGGATTGTGTCCGGATAACAATCAGGAAACTTTACATATTCTCTAAAGTTTAATGTGTGTTTGTATATTCAGTTATCTATGGTTGTATTTCCATTTTATTAAGTGGTTTATCACTTAAGTGACATTCTTAGAGTGTTTTCTATGTTTAATATGAAATGATTATAGCTCAGCCCTTGTCCCTGCAGGCTGACTACAAGTACTGCTACGACTTGGCAAAGGAATACATCCGCTCAGAGAACGTCTATGCCAACATGGGACAACCTGCTTCTGAGCAGGGGACATCGGGGACCTGTGCATGATTATATGTGACCGTGTGATAACACACACAGTGTTAATCAACGACCAGTGACAAAACACGATTATAATCAACGACCGGTTGTAGCACATGCTTATAATCAACGACCAGTGAGAACGCACGCATTTAAGCAACGACCAGCGAGAACGCACGCATTTATGCAACGACCAGTGAGAACGCACGCATTTAAGCAACGACCAGCGAGAACGCACGCATTTATACAACGACCAGTGAGAACGCACGCATTTAAGCAACGACCAGCGAGAACGCACGCATTTATACAACGACCAGTGAGAACGCACGCATTTAAGCAACGACCAGCGAGAACGCACGCATTTAAGCAACGACCAGTGAGAACGCATGCATTTAAGCAACGACCAGTGAGAACGCACGCATTTAAGCAACGACCAGTGAGAACGCACGCATTTAAGCAACGACCAGTGATAACGCACGCATTTAAGCAACGACCAGTGAGAACGCACGCATTTAAGCAACGACCTATTCACAACATACGTTTCTTTTTCTCGTTCGCCTACTTTGTTATTTCTTCTTTTGCTATGTCATTATGATATTGTCTGATTTTTGTATTAATGTGCGGAAGGTATTGCGTGGTTATATGTTGCTGTCAAGTAGGTTCAGATTACTCAAAGGAAGGCTTAAATTAATGAAATGTTTAAATTAATGAAATGTTCAAATTAATAAATGTATCTGTAAAAGTATAGCATGATACTTGCCATGTGTAATATTATACAATGTTATATTAATCATGTTTTAAGTTTTAAGCTTTTAATGCAATTCATAGTACATGACACTAAACGTTAGATCATGGACCTAGCCCAGTTGGTAAAGTGTTAGGTTCGAATCTACACACCAACATTGACATCACCACCACTACCACTACCACTACTACCACCACTACTATGACCCGATACTCCTTTTATTGCAGGGGCGGTCGAGTAGCCTAGTGGTTAAAGCATTCGATCGTCACGCCGAAGACCCGGGTTCGATTCCCGACATGGGTACAATGTGTGAAGCCCATTTCTGGTGTCCCCCGCCGTGATATTGCTGGAATATTGCTAAAAGCGGCGTAAAACCATACTCACTCACTCACTCACTCACTCACTCCTTTTATAGCAAGTAATTCGGTAACACGTGTAATTATACATCAATTAACCATGTTTCAATGGACATGGAAATGTTTTTCTAACATCCCTTTGTCACTTACAGCTGTTGAAATGTGTGAGGACATTGTCTAGTGTTGAGGACTACCATGTCTATTGAAATGTGTGAGGACATTGTCTAGTGTTGAAGACTACCATGTCTATTGAAATGTGTGAGGACACTGTCTAGTGTTGAAGACTACCATGTCTATTGAAATGTGTGAGGACATTGTCTAGTGTTGAGGACGACCATGTCAATGGGTGCGTCCATACTTTACAGAATCTATATCGCTGCCATGTGTACGGTGGTTGTCAGCTATCAGTGAATAATGCAGATACATTTTCCTGTTGATTATATTCTATTTGATTTTACTCTACTGAATATATCTTTTATATTGCCGTTCATTGAGGCAATGATTTTACTCTACTGAATATATCTTTTATATTGCCATTCATTGAGGCAATGATTTTACTCTACTGAATATATCTTTTATATTGCCGTTCATTGAGGCAATTATTTTACTCTACTGAATATATCTTTTATATTGCCGTTCATTGAGGCAATGATTTTACTCTACTGAATATATCTTTTATATTGCCATTCATTGAGGCAATTATTTTACTCTACTGAATATATCTTTTATATTGCCGTTCATTGAGGCAATGATTTTACTCTACTGAATATATCTTTTATAAAGCCTTTCATTGAGGCAATAATTTTACTCTACTGAATATATCTTTTATATTGCCGTTCATTGAGGCAATGATTTTACTCTACTGAATATATCTTTTATATTGCCATTCATTGAGGCAATGATTTTACTCTACTGAATATATCTTTTATATTGCCGTTCATTGAGGCAATGATTTTACTCTACTGAATATATCTTTTATATTGCCATTCATTGAGGCAATAATTTTACTCTACTGAATATATCTTTTATATTGCCGTTCATTGAGGCAATGATTTTACTCTACTGAATATATCTTTTATATTGCCGTTCATTGAGGCAATGATTTTACTCTACTGATTATATCTTTTATATTGCCATTCATTGAGGCAACAAAATAGTTAAATATATCTTTTTCTATACATATTTTTTTCATCTTTTATCATTCACATGCAATATATGATACTGAGAATAAAGAAGTCCGCTTATCTTTACGTCATGTTGTCATAATCTTTGTAATATGTCGGCGGCTATGTATTACTGGTATATCTACATAGAGTCGACAAAACCATTTCCCTAATCAAAAAGAATCATTGTGCGATCCCGACAATATAACTAGCACGTGTTATGGTTCACTATCAAATAGTTATGATACCAGGTGTTCAATATTTAGAAAAGATAATCTATCAGCCTCATCACCCGCGTGTTTACTATCATTTCGTCACAATGAGTGAGAGTTAGATTGTATGCCGCGTTTGCTGATATTACAGCCATTTCAAGGCGCGAGACCTTTCATATAGAACCCAGATCTCATTAACCCCTGGATCATGTCATCGGCGTGTCATGTTATGAAATACAAATATAAACAGACGATCAATGCATGTTTCCAAAGTCAGTTCGTTCAATTAATACCTAACGTCTGTGATATAAGTTGATATCACTTTATAGATTCTACTCATTATTGACTGACCCGTGTAGATCCGGGATAGAATAGTCTTCAGCAACCCATGCTTGTCGTTAAAGACGACTATGCTTGTCGTAAGAGGCGACTAACGGGATCGGGTGGTCAGGCTGACTGACTTGGTTGATGCATGTCATCGTATCCCAATTGCGTAGATTGATGCTCATGATGTCAATCACTGGATTGTCTGTTCTAGACTTGATTATTTACAGACCGCCGTCATATAGCTGGAATATTGCTGAGCGCGGGGATAAACATTATTGACAATCACCGACTAAACAAACTGCCATGAAATATGTATCGGTTTAATGTTAATGCACATTAAAATTTCACTTTACATACAATTTTTCTCTCCACCTTATCTTTATTTCTTTCTCCCCTACTTTAATCTCACTAATCCGGAGCTCTGTCTAAACCGGACTTCTGTGGTCCAATAGTTAGGTCCGGTTTAGACAGAGGTCCGGATTAGAGAGATTATAACAGGAGATAAAGAAATAGAATAAAAAGAAAATATACGGTTGTGACGAAATATTATGTTATAGCAGTAATTTTGGGACCATAATATGGTCTGGTACTGACAGGAGTCCGGATTAGCCACAGTCCGGTTGTGACACATTTCATTGTATTTAGTTTCTCTACATGATCTTATTGAAGAAGATGGATACACAGGCCCGCGTTAGCCCCGAATATATTCAATCGGCAAAACAAATACAATATGAGCATAGAACTACTTGTCACAGGCGTAACAGTATATGAACGGGGTCAGCCGAGGAGGAAAAGACGGGGAGGATGTGTGGAGGGGTAGGAAGAGGAGGAGGGCGTTGTAAAACTTTGGATATGACACATTGTCATAATAGATAAGCGGAAACACTGGTGGCCTCAGCTAGAGAGACGGACTGATACTAGCGTCTTGCCATGGTGGGGATGTGCGGCCGCCGTGCCTTCTGGGTTCTATTTTTCTGCGGATTTCTCGGAGCAAAGGGTAAGCAATATGATAACATTGATTGTATATATATGTAATTGCATGATGGTTTTACTTCGACATGCCTACGCGAAATTCCCGGTGGTACACTTCAAGCTGACAAAACACATTTCCATATTCATAAAACGTATCTGAGTCCATTGTACGATTTGGACTTTATCGTAAGGATGTGTTTAGAAATCACTACCATGTAGTTATGATACCAGGTGCTCGCGAAAAGGTAAGCGTATCCTGCCCCGTCGGTGGCTCCAGTCACAAACACATGCAAAGGCAAGTCATTTAATTACCTAAATAAAACCCACGGGAACATATGACACAAGTCACAATAGTGAATTGCATCAGAAATCAGAAGTTGGAAATTTATAAAAGTGCATTTTTGGATGGGACAAGGGTATATACACCCTTATCTTATGATAATTCAAACTCTTTGTTTCTTCAAGTGTTTTGATGGGTGGTGGGGTAGCCTAGTGGTTAAGTCGCTAGTCACGCTGAAGACCCGGGTTCGATTCCCGACATGGGTACAATGTGTGAAGCCCATTTCTTGTGTCCCCCGCCGTGATATTGCTAAAAGCGGCGTAAAACCATCTCACTCACTCACTAATTTCTTTGGAAAACTTGTGCATGTATTCTGGTGAGTTCATTTCCGCCAGGTAAATAAATAATATTTTGCCACCCCGATAGCTCTAGCTGTAAACGGTCCGTAGTTTTACAGCACATTAGGGCTGTCAAAGTTTTGAATCGACGCATCTGAAACATTTATGTTGATTGGTTGGAATATAATTCCAGTTACAGTCACGTGCGGGCAGTTTATAACGTGGGCCAATACATGGCTTAATCACTACTTGACATTTACGTTCCCAGGTGAACGCGAAATAGCATCCCAAGTATGCATGAACTGTGATACATCTTGGAACGTAATCACAGGATGATTGGTTCCCTTCGGACTTACAGTGAACCTGTAATTAACTCTCGATCGCTACAAAGCTGCAAAGTAAATTTTAAATATGTCTGAGACGATGGGGAACATGATATTTAAATGCTGAACACGTGCACGTGCACTACATGATTATTTGCTTTGTTTAAAAGGTATACTCCAATAAAAAGTGGTACTCTCCAGAGCGTGCTATCCGATCCTCTGGTGGAACTCTACTGTATCAGCCGCTGTCTACTTCTGCTATGTCTGACCGTGCCTTCTCCTTTTGCAGTCCACAGTTATGGAACTCTTTGCCTTTGAATTTGAGAAACTCTGGTTCTAAGGAAACGTTTAAGTCTCTCCTCAAAACCCACTTCTTCACCTCAGCTTTTCAATAGATCTCCTGATTGTTGGCATATGTACATAGACATTACATTTTTACTTTGTCACAGCGCCAGTGAGCAACTGTCGATGGATATTAGGCGCTTTACAAATCAGTTATTACTATTATTATTATTATTATTATTATTATTTGTTTCGCCAGTACTTTTGTTTATCTGGGAGCAGTAGGTGTTTCGTTCAGTGTCAATAGTGTACAGTGGACATACATCTATAGATGTGAGTACACGCCTCCCGTGAGGAACTGGCTACACAACACTACAGGCTGGTGTCAGACATTATTAACATGTAATAATGCACAGTAATGTTAGGCATCAGATGACCTTAGAGACAAACATTAAGTTAACATCGTTTGCACTATACTTTGGTTTATTTGAATAAAGATAATTTAAAGTGTTTGTTGGCAAGTGATAATACTAATTCAAAATATTTTATATTTTCCCATTTGCTCATTTAATTAACACATAAATCGTTTCTTTTAAACATAAACCCATAAATGTTATGGATGTCTTCCAACTATTCATATGAGAGAGGATTTTCCTTTTTAATACTTATCAAATAGATACTATAGTTTTTACTAGCAAGCATTCATGCTGCTTTTTTACGCCAAGGGATATTATTTTAAGTAAAGAAATACAAATTTAAGTCAATCATGTTCTAACGTAATGATAAGAAGCAATATAAACAGCTGACGAACACAAATGTGTCTTCAATCATAAAGATGAATTATTTGCGTAAGAGAGATGCACGTACCAACGAGAAGACTATGAGCAGAGCACACATTGAAGAAAATAAACTTGTTCAGATTGGCAGAAGAATCGATCTGTAAGGTTTGACACATTCCCAGTATTTGGAATACGCTGGGCAGAGTTGCTCCATTGGCATATCGGAAACCAATGATCGTGGGTTCGAATCTCGGTTTTCCCTGATTGTGTGTCTAGGTTTGTGACCACCAAACCCGTGCTTTCACAAAGTGCTAAATTTAAAGTCGCGTCCAAGATTATTGCACTTATATAGCGACGTGCATGCACGTGTGTGTGTGGCTGCTTGTACTAGTCCGGACTCATGCCGATTTATCGTGCTAGCTCCCTGAGATACCATGCCGCAGTTTAACATGAATACCCCACTCAGACACAGTATACTGACTCAGAGCCGACCAGTCCTTGTTCTAGCCCCTTAATTCCGAGCCACAGACAGGGTAACAACAAGTACCATATTTTAACAGACAGACAGACAGTTTATTCAGTTGTTTAGGCATCAAGGCCCATTGAACAATGCAGATTGGATATTTACATTTGTCACGTGATGTACATGATAAGATTTTAAATCTAGTTACACATTCCTCATTATAAAGACATGTTTAAAGAATACAGAAACAGCATGGATCATATCAGGATTTTCAGAGTTTAGCAGCTTTAACATTAACTGACGGTCTTTAAAAATATCTTGCAACATGGGGAGAAATTTATACCTTAAATAGGAATACGTTTCACATATAAGTAAGACATGGTATTATCCTCTACTTCTCCAGATGAACAGTTTGTACAAATAGAGTTCACAATATCACCGTCTTTGGACCTGCGACATATATTTGCATTAAAATTATGCAATGAAATTCTAAGTTTACAATAACTCTGATTAAACTTTTTTTCATTTAAACAAGTTAAATATCTTTCAGTTTGTAACAATGATTTTACTTTGCTGTAATTGCTAAGAAAAAGTGATTCAGAAATACTTTGGTGCCACTGTTGACAAAATATATCCTTCAGTCTTTGCTTAAATGAATATAATAATAACTGTGGATCTTTCACATCTTGAGAAATCCATACATATGAAAAGCCACTAACAAATAATAGATTTCTCACATCTGAAACCCAATTATTTTTTCCATTATCATCAAGTACCTTTAACATTTTGTAACACTGATATGGGTATCTATCAGGCATCATTCTAAGTAACTTAATCCAATACTTAATTACCCTTAATTGGCTGGCTACAAAAATATTACTACGGCCTGTTTCACCAAGGATTGCCTTGTTTGAGGCAAACTTACCAACACCTATTAAACATTTGAAATATGAAGTATGAACTTTTTTCAATTGCAGCGTAATACTTAGCACCCAATATTTCAGAACCATACAAAAGTATAGGCACAATTTTGACTTAAGAAAATTGTACATGCTGTGAAAAAAGACACACGACTATTTTTCCTGAATAAATTATAAAGAGGCATAATGGATTTTGACGCCTGAGCAGCTAATTGCTTACATGCCATAGACCATGACAATCTAGAGGAGAACATAAGACCTAAATATATATAGTAAGTGACTACACTCAAGGCAGACGAACCAAGAAACCACTTTTCACTTTTTGCAACAACACCACCTTTTCTAAAAACTATAACATTTGTTTTATTCAGATTTACTTCAAGTCTCCATTTTGAACAGTAACTCTGTAACACATTTAACTGCTTTTGCAAGCCGTTTACAGAATAGGAAAAAAATACATCATCAGCAAAGAGAGGGAGCATTATTTACATTATTTCTTGTGTTACAAATATCCCATGTTGACAACTATTTTGCAGCTCTATAGCAAATTCATTTATGAAAAATATAAACAACAACGGACTTAAAACACAACCTTGTCGTACACCGGAGGATGTTGGAAAGCAGTCCTTACGTTCATTATTGACCTTTACACATGCGCTGACTGATGCATACATGTTTTTAAAAGTACAGACATTTTACCATGACATCCCTTAGGAAAAGTAAATACATCAATTTTTTCCCTATTAACGTCTGTTAACGTCTTTTGGTATGACGAGGCCAGGGATCGAACCCCGGACCTTCCACTCTCCGGGCGGACGCTCTACCACTAGACCACGGAGGCGGTGGATATAACAGAAAAACTGTTGTTCGAAAACAAAAAAAAGCGAAGAAAGTATGTCCATAATCCTATGAAAATCCACTGTTCCGACTATACTATCACTGTACACTCACTCACTCACTCATTTGTGTTTCAGCGCAGTACACGTGTCACTGTAAGACGCAGTGTCCTGCGGAGTCTGACAACCTCCCATCAGCAGTCTGCCAGGAAGGATGCGCGCGTGGGTTCTACGGAATGCACTGTCAGAACAGTGAGTAGTAGGAGGGCTGTGTTCATATATTAATGCAACAAGCTTCTAGTCATATCTAATATGTGTGAACTCTAATACATGTTTGTGTCAGATTCATATTTGCTTCGTCACCAAAGTGTTGGTCGGTGCCTTTGCAGATGTTGTGAGTGTGGACATGTGACGTCTTATTCAGCTTAACTGTAGTTGCTATGTCATGGTGCCTTGTGGCGATTTTAAGATGAACAAACGTTTCCGTTAACATGTAATTATATACAAAAATAAATAGGTGAAGTCATTGACTGTTCATTACCACCCTCGCTGTTACCACAACCCTCGCTGTGACCACCACGTGCACAGTTACCGCCACCCTGACTGCCATCACCTCCACCCACACAGTCATCCCCCTACCCAAGTCTACCCATCCTTACTGGTAGTTACATCCCTGATGACATGCTCATAGTCTGTTGGTGGTTTCAGGAAACGTTGCCCTGGAGAGAAGGGCTTGGCAAGTCAGTACGTATACAGATTTCTTAAGGCGTTTCGGGAAATTGGGTAAATCTATCCCCAATACACCGGATAGAGCAGTCGACGGAAACGCAAATACGTTCTACTCGCGGCGTTCGTGTACACATACAGGCTTAACCGAGACGGCACCCTACTGGACGGTGGATCTTGGTCAAGCGTATGACTTGTACAGAATGGTCATATATCAGAGGAGTACACGTGAGTTGGAATAACATTCATCGCGTCACCATTTACGTTTCATTTTGATAAAACGTCAATATATGTTTAATAAAACAAATAAAATAAAATAAAACGTTTTAAATAAAGCGTTGGGTTCAAAACGAAAAACATGTGTTATTTAAAGGAAAAAGTGACTGCAATCACTTCAGACAACACTATATTGCACAGTTACCTTCCCAGACCCTCAAGGTCAAGGACTGTAGTTATGGTTTATTTTCTTTGACAGCTATACTAATCAACACTTTATGATGTCCAGCTATAGAATAAATGCCAGATAATTTCTGCAAGCGATATGTTCATCTAAAGAACGCTTTGTTATTAATACGTAGCTTTGTTCATTTTGAAGTAACCGAACGTTTGACCGGTTTCGAGGTGAAGGTTGATGGCAGACGGTGTTATCGATGGGAAAGCGAAGAGGCTCCACCCATTCGGATACCCCTAAACTGCGTTCAACCAATGAGAGGCCAAAACGTCACAGTAGACTTGCCAAAGCGGGAAGACGGTGCCTTACAGATTCTCACGTTATGTGAGGTTTTAGTGTTCGGTATGTTGTATTGTAACATTTGAAATATAAACATTTAAACCATCTTACAATACCTACAACGCAATTGCCAGACCAGTTTCCTCTGGTTGAGAAAACGCAAAAGTGGACATATTTCAATTGTGAGGTTAAATGTTGTTATTTGGAAAAGGGACAATCTAAAGCCAGTAAAGGTCTGGGTACGTGAAGCGGAGACATCTTCTTTGTGTATATAGGGTAATCTTCACCTGACAGATGTATAAACATTATAAAAGTTTTAATGACTTTATTCAACTCTGTTGTGACTACCAATTGCCCCGAGTCTAGTGCCTCTTTAATAATGCCAAACACAGAACTTATTAACAAGGGTGACACAGTGAAGATCCGGGTTAGAATTGGTCATCGGCAACCCATGCTTGTCACCTGTGAAGATCCGGGTTAGAATTGGTCATCAGCTACCAATGCTTGTCACCCGTGAAGATCCAGGTTAGAATTGGTCATCCGCTACCAATGCTTGTCACCCGTGAAGATCCGGGTTAGAATTGGTCATCAGCTACCAATGCTTGTCACCCGTGAAGATCCAGGTTAGAATTGGTCATCCACTACCAATGCTTTTCACCCGTGAAGATCCGGGTTAGAATTGGTCATCGGCAACCCATGCTTGTCACCTGTGAAGATCCGGGTTAGAATTGGTCATCGGCAACCCATGCTTGTCACCTGTGAAGATCCAGGTTAGAATTGGTCATCGGGATCCCATGCTTGTGACCTGTGAAGATCCAGGTTAGAATGTGTCATCGGCTATTCATGCTTGTCGTATGAGACGACGAACGGGGTCGGTTCGCTGACTTGTTTCGTGCTTGTCATTGTATCCCCATTGCGTAGATAGATGCTCATGATGTCAATCACTGGATTGCCAGGTCTACACTTCTTAATAATAAAATATTTACAGACCGTGGTCATACATTGCTGTTACATTGCTTGGTGCGGCCGTACACAACAAACAAACAAATAAGGAAGGGTCACGTGTCTGTTTGTTCCAGCCTGCAACGACTACTGGTTCGGTGAGCAATGTGAGAAGACCTGCCGCTGCCGTGACCCCCGGGAGATATGTAACAAGGTCACAGGTCAATGCGACAGCGGTTGCGCAAGCGGCTTCAAAGGTGCCGACTGTCAACAAGGTAATGAATTATAAGTTCTATACATCATATAGTTATTCGTGATGTTTAGATACTAAACAATCGAATTATTAGTCACCAATTCCCCATGTTGGAAATGCGTTCCCCCTGCAAAGTGAAAAAAAATCACACATAAAAATACAAAAAAAACCATGCAGTTGTGCCCACAGTCAGTTTATTATAAGTATATTGTCGATACGATTACACGCATCAGTAAACACAACGCGGAATACATGTAAATGTTTGTACAGGTAAGTACAGGAGCATTAACGTGGAAACAAACCTTCGCTTGAAGCTCTATCCAGTGGCATGCCATATATCAGTGTAGCTCTATATAACCTGGGGCATATCATATATCAATGTAGCTCTATATAACCAGGGGCATAGCATATATCAACGTAGCTCTATATAACCAGGGGCATATCATATATCAATGTAGCTCTATATAACCAGGGGCATATCATATATCACTGTAGCTCTATATAACCAGGGGCATATCATATATCAGTGTAGCTCTATATAACAAGGGGCATATCATATACCAATGTAGCTCTATATAACCGGGAGCATATCATATATCAGTGTAGCTCTATATAGCCGTGAGCATATCATATACCAGTGTAGCTCTATATAAACAGGGGCATATCATATATCATTGTAGCTCTGTATAACCAGAGGATATCATATATCAGTGTAGCTCTATATAACCAGGGGCATATCATATATCAGTGTAGCTCTATATAACCTGGGGCATATCATATATCAGTGTAGCTCTATATAACCAGGGGCATATCATATATCAGTTGAGCTCTATACAACCAGGGGCATATCATATATCAGTGTAGGTCTATATAAACAGGGGCATATCATATATCAGTGTAGGTCTATATAACCAGGGGCATACCACATATCAGTGTAGCTCTATATAACCAGGGGCATATCATATTTCATTGTAGCTCTTTATAACCAGGGGCATGTCATATATCAGTGTAGTTCTATATAACCAGGGGCATATCACATATCAGTGTAGCTCTATATAACCAGGGGCATATCATATTACATTGTAGCTCTTTATAACCAGGGGCATATCATATATCAGTGAAGCACTATATAGCCAGGGGCATACCATATATCAGTGTAGCTCTATATAGCCAGGGCATATCATATATCAGTGAAGCACTATATAACCAGGGGCATACCATATATCAGTGTAGCTCTATATAACCAGGGGCATATAATTTATCAGAGCTACTCTATATAACCAGGGGCATATCATATATCATTGTAGCTATATTTAATTAGGGGTATATCATATATCAGTGTAGCTCTATATAATCAGGGCATATCATGTATCATTGTAGCTCTATATAACCAGGGGCATATCATAGTTCATTGTTGCTCTCATAAAGGACGTGCCATATTTCTTTGTTAATCCGACCACAGACATGCCAGGTTTAGTTGTAGCTCTAAATAAAAGCGACACAACCCTTTTCATATTCATGACAAATCTCGTCTAAAAGCAGAGTCCATTGTACGATTCCGACTATATAATATGCATGTGTTTGTGAATGACTATCAAATAGTGATGATACTAGGAGTTTTCGCAAAAAAGTGAGCATATCCTGCCCCGTCACAAACACACACACAAGGCAAGTCAATTGAACACCCGAACAAACAAGGGAACACATTATACAAATCAAAATAGGGAATTGCATCGGACATCATTTTTGTCACGGATGCGTCAAATTTTGAAATGTCCTCCTCGTGTCTCCCATAAAGTCTTTTGAAAGCCTCACTGTGGCCTTGGACATTGTAACCTTTTCAGACAACTTTTTAGCATCTGAAATCTTCTTAGATTGTACCTCAAAAGCTGTGAAATGTAGACACAAAAGGCTGGAGATGCTGGCATATTGCAAGACATCTACCCACGGACATACCAAGTGTAGTCGTAGCTCTACCTACGGACACACCAGAATTAGTTGTAGCTTTTCCCACCTCCATACCAGGTTTAGTTGTAGCTCTAACCAGGGACATACCGGATTTAGTTGTAGCTCTACGTATACCTACGGACATACCAGGTTTAGTTGTAGCTCAACCTACGGACATACCAGGTTTAGATGTAGCTCTACCTACGGACATACCAGGTTTAGTTGCAGCTCTACCTACGGACATACCAGGTTTAGTTGTAGCTCTTCCCACCGACATACCAGGTTTAGTTGTAGCTCTACCTACGGACATACTAGGTTTAGTTGCAGCTCTACCTACGGACATACCAGTTTTAGTTGCAGCTCTACCTACGGACATACCAGGTTTATTTGTAGCTCTACCTACGGACATGCCAGGTTTAGTTGTAACTCTATCTACGGACATACCAGGTTTAGTTGTACCTCTACCCACGGACATACCAGGTTTAGTTGCAGCTCTACCCACGGAAATACCAGGTTTAGCTGCAGCTCTACCCATGGACATACCAGGTTTAGTTGCAGCTCTACCCATGGACATACCAGGTTTAGTTGCAGCTCTACCCACGGACATACCAGGTTAAGTTGCAGCTCTACCCATGGACATGCCAGGTTAAGTTGCAGCTCTACCCAAGGACATGCAAGGTTTAGTTGCAGCTCTACCCACGGACATGCCAGGTTTAGTTGCAGCTCTACCCACGGACATGCCAGGTTTAGTTGCAGCTCTACCCATGGACATGCCAGGTTTAGTTGTAGCTCTACCCACGGACATACCAGGTTTAGCTGTAGCTCTACCCACGGACATACCAGGTTTAGTTGTAGCTCTACCCACGGACATACCAGGTTTAGTTGTAGCTCTACCCACGGACATACCAGGTTTAGTTGTACCTCTACCCACGGACATACCAGGTTTAGCTGTAGCTCTACCCACGGACATACCAGGTTTAGCTGTAGCTCTAACCACGGACATTCCATAATTTTAGTTGTAGCTCTACCCATGGACATACCAGGTTTAGTTGCAGCTCCAACCTACGATCTGCTCAGTATGGTTATGATAAATGTGACAACATCTGAAATTACTCCGAAAAGATAACATATTCTTTTCAGTTTCAGGAACCAATCAGGGCGCATCGATAAGTCCACGCCCAGGTAGTGAGTACATTATCATTTGTGAAGTTGATAAATCAAAATACAGAGGCCTTTCCAAAGTGGATAATATATAAATGAACAGTCATGAATTATCCGAAAAACATTTGCAATGTTAAAAACTAGCGCGTCTCTGGTGTACGCAATGCATCACACGTCCAATTCCAACCATAGAACATCATAGAACAATAGAATCGCGATTGTTTTTTTCAAATCGTTAGTTGTAGCTTTTCCCACCGCCATACCAGGTTTAGTTGTAGCTCTAACCAGGGACATACCGGATTTAGTTGTAGCTCTACGTATACCTACGGACATACCAGGTTTAGTTGTAGCTCTACCCACGAACATACCAGGTTTAGCTGTAGCTCTACCCACGGACATACCAGGTTTAGCTGTAGCTCTACCCACGAACATACCAGGTTTAGCTGTAGCTCTACCCACGAACATACCAGGTTTAGCTGTAGCTCTACCCACGGACATACCAGGTTTAGCTGTAGCTCTACCCACGGACATACCAGGTTTAGTTGTAGCTCTACCCACGGACATACCAGGTTTAGTTGTAGCTCTACCCACGGACATACCAGGTTTAGTTGTACCTCTACCCACGGACATACCAGGTTTAGCTGTAGCTCTACCCACGGACATACCAGGTTTAGCTGTAGCTCTAACCACGGACATTCCATAATTTTAGTTGTAGCTCTACCCATGGACATACCAGGTTTAGTTGCAGCTCCAACCTACGATCTGCTCAGTATGGTTATGATAAATGTGACAACATCTGAAATTACTCCGAAAAGATAACATATTCTTTTCAGTTTCAGGAACCAATCAGGGCGCATCGATAAGTCCCCGCCCAGGTAGTGAGTACATTATCATTTGTGAAGTTGATAAATCAAAATACAGAGGCCTTTCCAAAGTGTATAATATTTAGATGAACAGTCATGAATAGTCCGAAAAACACTTGCAATGTAAAAAATCCAGCGCGTGTTGTGTATTGTGAAGAGGCAGTTTCTGAAACATTTTGCATAATAATCATTGACAAAGTGTCGGGCGAAAACATTGTAGAAAGTTTAGGATGTTACAATTGTCCCGGCAGGAAGGCGATATTTTGGAGCAAACGTCTCTGGTGTACGCAATGCATCACATGTCCAATTCCAACATACTCTCTGGTGCTTCCTCAAATATGTCACATCACTATAGAACATCAGAGAACAATAGAATCGCGATTGTTTTTTCAACTCGTTTGTAACTAGCCTGGTGTTTCAGTATTTGTATGGTGCGCTTCAGCCAGATTCAATTTCCAGGAATCAGCCAGGCCACGTCCATAGACTTAATAGGAGGAGTTACCCAGGGACCAGACCCGGGGTCCAGCAACGGTGGCGGGAATGTCATGAATCAACCTACAAGTGGTGAGTGCATTAAGCGCGTTAAAACGAGATCTACCATGGGGTGATGTTAGTCTTAAATAAATATTTAATACTGACAGAGTCGCTTTTGTGTTATGCTGTTTTTACAGTTCGCGTTCCTTGTAAAGGGAGACAATTCTGCTGTAGTATATATTTGCTGAATGAAAAATAATTGCTGAGAAAGTATTCTGCATGATCACTTTCTCCAACTCATTGCCAGGAACGTTTCATCTTTATAATTGTAATACGAAACTGGATCTTTAAATGATTTTTACTCATTTCTTCTTCACTTTGAGTAGCCTAGTGGTTAAAGCGTTCGCTCGTCACGCCGGAGTGAGTGAGTGAGTGAGTTGGGTTTAACGCCGCTTTTTAAACATTACTCCAGTTATATCACGGCTTGTTAGCTTAATTTGGGAGGAAAGCCCGAAGTGATGCAGGTCTCAGACGTTTACCACTTCGGTAAAACCCACGAGCACGGGTATGGTGCTGACAAACCTAGAAACATAATCGGGGCGAACCGGGATTCGAATCCACAATCATAGGTTTCTGGCGTGCGAATCGCGGCGCCTTAAACGACTGGGCCACTTGTGCCCCCAGTCACGCTGAAGACCCGGGTTCGATTCCAGACATGGGTACAATGTTTGAAGCCCATTTCTGGTGTCCCCCGCCGTGATATTGCTGGAATATTACTAAAAGCGGCGTAAAACCATACTCACTCACTCACCCACACACGTGGAAGTGAATGTAATGATACAGAAGAAGGTGAGCTACAGGGCTTTGTCGCTACTTATTGGAACTGTAACATTTATTTCATTGTTATTAAACCAACCTTTTGCTATTATTCACGTACGTGCTGTGTTATTCCACACATGATTAATGTCGTCAACTTTCTGTGTGTTGGTGTTTTTCAGGCCAAATAACAGCTATAACCTTTGCCGTTATCATCGCCCTGGTAGCTGCTATTTCATCTCTCCTGTATTTTCTGAGGTAATAAGACAAACGGTAACGCCCCACTGGCAAAATGGAAACGTGATGATATACAGTCTAACACTCCTGTGTCGAACTTTGATTTGTCGAACTTACGGTTGTCTCGAAGTAAAAGCATGGTCCCTGCGTATTCCTTCTTTAGTCATCATTTTCGGTTGTGTCACACCTCGGATAACTCGAGTATTAACGTAGGTCCCTTCAACTTTGAAACCACGGTGTTTGACTGTATATCATCACATTTCGACGTTAACGACAGCTGAAGGTACAGGACAAGGAAAATATTTCTCAGGAACTCAAGCAAATCTTCCATTATAAGGTGGTTGACAAATATTAATATTACGTTTTTACTAAATCTGGTTATTGTGTAATACACTACAGTCAAAACATGTCCAGGCAGATGATGAGGTTTAAATATTTCAAAGGTCATGTAACCAAGCTAACGTTCGTCAGAAGCAGTTTTCCAGACAATAACTGCGACAAGTATTGTTGACAAGTCAGTTAAACAGGCAGTGAAAGGGCAGATTGATATCGGCTCAAACTGGCTTTATTTACTGTAAATCATGAATTAATGCGTCACGAAAATAATGTGAGCACGAGTACCGGAACACAACTGCGTCACTTAATTAATGTGAGACACCCTAGATCCATTTTTTTAAAATTTAAAGAGGATATTAAACATATAAACTATAAACGTGAAAAGTTACATAAAAACACTGGTGAACACTCCCCTCATCTCGCATCTCATAAGCTGATGTTTTCCTTGTGATTGTTTTCTTCCGGGTGGAATGTCCTATTCTTTGACACAGAATGAATGATGTTTATTCTCGTAAATCACGGCAGTGATACAGAGATGTAATTGGACACAGGAATAAGATACAATGAAGAAAACATGTCAGTGGAACATTTCCATACATGATCTTATATAACTTGCCAGTTTTAATAGAGTTGGCTTATAAGTAATGGACATCAAATGAGAGAATTTTACGGCAGAAGGATACATACAGTAGTATTGAGGCAAAAACTTGTTTCTAATTTCTGAGAGTTTTGGACATTCTAATAAAAAGTTCATTTCATCACATATAAAATTTTTACACAATGTACATTTTCTTTCCTCTCTCACAATATTATACCATCTTCCTGTTTCAATGGGTAATCTATGATTTGCTGTTCTAAAACGAGCAAGAGAGATGCGTAAGGTGATTGGTAGTTCTAGTAAATAAGGTTCTAGAGATGGTAACTCTTTAAACATGTTATAATAGTAACCTTTAGATGAATTTTCCTTTGATTCTCGCCATCTTTGCAGAAAATTATCAATGAAAACATGTTTCACATTTTGTTTCAACCATGCGGCACTAATAAAGGTTTGAGACAGCCAAATGTAATTAAAGCCTATATTTTGAAGAATGCATTTTATTTCTTTGAATAGTGGGAAATGGTAATCTGGATTTGCTATGGACATTTGAAACATAAGTTTATATACTATACTAGAAAGGCTAGTTTGTGATGATGTTAGCTTGCACCAATATGAAATAATTCTTATCTTAATGAAAATGCTGAGAGGATACCTCCCTAGTTCACCATATACCATGTAATCGGGTGTTGACTGTTTTAACTTGAGAATATATTTACAAAATTTAAGATGTACACGTTCAATGACAACAGCATTTTCAAAACCCCACACCTCAGATCCATATAACAATACTGGCTGAACAAGTTGATCAAATAATTTCAGTTGACAGTCAATAGGAATTTCTAATATTCTAATTTTACGAAATACAGCGAAATACAGATGCCTGATCTGTCAGTCTCTTTAGTGCCTTACAAAATCTACCAGTGTTTGTAAATAAAATACCAAGGTAAACATATTCTTTAACAACATGAAGAAACGAGCCATTTAACATAAACTTGAAGACTCTATTTGTGGAGCGCTTGGCAAAAATAACAACTTTCGTTTTGTCAACATTGACTTTAAGTTTCCAGATAGTACAATATTCTTCAAATATAGTGAGACACTTTCTTAAATCTTCTGGGCTTTCGGCCATTAAAACAGTATCGTCGGCATACAAAATGAGAAAAAGTTTTATGTACAGTTCAAGTGAATCTATTAAAAGGTTATTTACCTTATGCAGTCCTTCAAAGTCATACAGAGATACTCTATATACCAGTAATTACAAACACATTTATTTAGTAATATGTAGAAGGATAGGCAGGTACAATTCCTTACCAAAAGTTGGTCGTTTCCAAAAAGTACAATTTATAAAGATCACGTTGACCAATCAGATCTCATCTTTCTGACATGGACGTGTGATAAATGTTTTGGACATTTTCTTATTAACACTCAATAGCAACTGAAATAGGTCACGACAAGGACCAACAACAGTAACGCGACTTTGGCTTCAACTGCTACGTGGCTAGTTTCCGGGTGACAAGTTTGACAAACACCGAATCGGATATATTTAGATAGACCATATATAAACACGGGGAAAGTTGATTAACCAATAAAAACTTGCAAGATTGATATGTGTAAACAATAACACGGTAAGTGCTCTAGATTTACATTATATGATCCTGAATCTGTTACCTTTTGCGAACACCTGGTGTCATCACTGATTTTCAGTGACCCCTTCAAATAATCCCCGCCTCTATTTTGCCCTTTGCGCCCAATGGAATCTGTTTCGGTGGATGACTTATGCTCTGGCGTTGGCGTTTTGAAATAAGTAGATTCCCCGATAGTTACATTGTTCCCCGATAGTTACATTGTTCCCCGATAGTAACATTGTTCCCCGATAGTTACATTGTGCCCCGATAGTTACATTGTTCCCCGATAGTTACATTGTTCCCCGATAGTTACATTGTTCCCCGATAGTTACATTGTTCCCCGATAGTAACATTGTTCCCCGATAGTTACATTGTTCCCCGATAGTTACATTGTTCCCCGATAGTTACATTGTTCCCCGATAGTAACATTGTTCCCCGATAGTTACATTGATCCCCGATAGTTAATTGATCCCCGATAGTTACATTGATCCCCGATAGTTACATTGTTCCCCGATAGTTACATTGATCCCCGATAGTTAATTGATCCCCGATAGTTACATTGTTCCCCGATAGTTACATTGTTCCCCGATAGTTACATTGATCCCCGATAGTAACATTGTTCCCCGATAGTTACATTGTGCCCCGATAGTTACATTGATCCCCGATAATTACATTGATCCCCGATAGTTACATTGTTCCCCGATAGTTACATTGTTCCCCGATAGTTAATTGATCCCCGATAGTAACATTGTTCCCCGATAGTTACATTGATCCCCGATAGTTACATTGTTCCCCGATAGTTACATTGTGCCCCGATAGTTAATTGATCCCCGATAGTTACATTGTTCCCCGATAGTTACATTGTTCCCCGATAGTTACATTGATCCCCGATAGTAACATTGTTCCCCGATAGTTACATTGTGCCCCGATAGTTACATTGATCCCCGATAATTACATTGATCCCCGATAGTTACATTGTTCCCCGATAGTTACATTGTTCCCCGATAGTTACATTGTTCCCCGATAGTTACATTGTTCCCCGATAGTTACATTGATCCCCGATAGTTACATTGTTCCCCGATAGTTACATTGTGCCCCGATAGTTACATTGTTCCCCGATAGTTACATTGATCCCCGATAGTTACATTGTTCCCCGATAGTTACATTGTGCCCCGATAGTTACATTGTTCCCCGATAGTTACATTGTTCCCCGATAGTAACATTGATCCCCGATAGTTACATGTTTCCCCGATAGTTACATTGTTCCCCGATAGTTACATTGTTCCCCGATAGTTACATTGATCCCCGATAGTTACATTGTTCCCCGATAGTTACATTGTTCCCCGATAGTTACATTGATCCCCGATAGTTACATTGTTCCCCGATAGTTACATTGTTCCCCGAAAGTTACATTGATCCCCGATTCTATTCCAGATGGAGACAATCTAAGAGGACCGCGACCCCCGACAGTCATTATGAAGACCTCAGTAGGCCGGACGCTCCCGAACACAGATATGTGACAATGTCAGATGTCGTGCGGAAGCAGAGTACAAACTCAGTGGTCAAGGTCAAGACTGATACCGAGTCTAAATGCAGAGACAGTGAGAACCATTATGACTATGTGGTGGACAGCGAAGCGTTTCCTGAAGACCAGGGGTACTTAGTTCCTATTGGAGGGATAAATGCTCCTAGTGCCAAGGAATAGGAATCAGACACAAGGAGACGAGACATATTTCTCGCACAGCGTAGTTTTCACCGAGAATCTGGAAATCTAAACTTGTCGTTATTGCGAATGAGTTACTTTGGTGTATTGCCGCTCTGAGCAGTAACATCATAGAGTGTCAGCTCAAAGTTGGAGTGAGAGAGTAAGTAAATGAGTATGGTTTTACGCCGCTTTTAGCAATGTTCCAGCATTATCACGGCGGGGGACACCAGAAATGGGCTTCACACATTGTACCCATATTGGGAATCGAACCCGGGTCTTCGATGTGACGAGTGAACGCTTTAACCATTAGTTACCCCCCACACCATTAAAGTTGGAGGAAAGCATGAAATGATACAGGCCTCACCACTTTGGTCACGCCTAGGAACACGTGTATGCTGCTGACAAACCAAGGCAAGCATAGACAGTTCGGCCTCCCATCCCCTCTATTGTTACAGCTGCGATCTAGGGAGATCCGTATTGAATGAAACTCGCTGCTGCCAAATCTCCACGTGGTCCAACTAACTGTATACAACTAGTTGTACCGTGTGAATGCTCCTTTTTAGAAGTAGTAATCTGCATCGGATTGTATTAAGAGTTTTGTTAATTTGAATAAAGACACAGCAATGCAGCCATTTTATTTGATCACCACATGTGTGTAATATTGAGGACGGTTTGCCGCCAAGAGTGAATGACACAACAGGGACACCATCAGATGACGTGATGATAGAGGGTTTGACTGATTACGCATCAGTGGCTGAATGATATCAGATGCAATTCCTTGCACCATATGTTCCCCTGTCTTTTCGATGATCAATTGACTTGCCTTTGCATGTGTTTGTGACGGAAGCCACCGATGGGGCAGGAATCGCTCACCTTTTCGCGAACACATAGTATCGAGTCTATTTGATTGTGCTTCATAAACAAATGCTCGTGACATAGTTGGAATCGTACAATTTGGTAAAGATTATGGAAAGGTTTGTCGCTTTGATTTGTATAGTGCTATATGAGGTCACATGAGGGCAAACGAGAAACAGAGTCGTCTCCGAGACTAGATGAACAAAAGTGAAATAAAGCAGTGCAGATATTTTTATAATTGTCTGTCGAATATATGTATTTAATTCTCTGAACATTGTTTTGACTACATCAACGCATCTTATTTGTTTGTTGTTTAACGCTGCACTCAGCAATATTCCAGCTATATGACGGCGATCTGTAAATAATCGAGTCTGGACCAGACAATCAAGTGATTGACATGAGCATCGATCCACGCAATTGGGTTACGATGACGTGCATCAACCAAGTCAGCGAACCTGACCACCCGATCCCGTCAGTCGCCTCTTACGACAAGCAAAGTCGCCTTTTACAGCAAGCACGGGTTGCTGATGACCTATTCCACCCGGATCTTCAAGGGTAACATCAACGCATCTATTCTCCGACATACATTTTACATGGTACATGTACATTCACAATGCCGCCTGTCATGGCTTGACTGCACAGTGACAGTGTATACATAATCGCGTTAACTAAGTAGACATAGAGCTTGCTTCCACAATATAAGGACAAATATCGATGTAATGATACTCGTAAATAGACACTTTTAATAGCCTACATGGGGTATTGGGTGTCAGAAGACTTGTCTAGCCCTCCTGATATAATTTACAATGTGTGCATATGAAGGTCGAAGCAATATTTCAACATCATATGCAGCTAAATAGACGTTAAAGCGCACCCGATAGTTAATCTGTCATGGATGGTGGGTATTGTAACAGACAGCCTTCCAAATGTCGGCGTTCTTTAACTTGTTTTGAGTAGTATAATCTAGCATTAAACCGCTAACGTGCTAGTAACAGTTTTCTTTCCATTGATTCATGCAAAACGATATATAAAGGTGTGAGAAGTCGCAAAGCCAGGTGGGCAGCTTCCTCGATTTTCCCCGTGTTACTTGGATGGACTGAGTTTGCTGCTAAATAATTTATGACATAATCCCCTCCAAAGTCCTGCCAACGATGCTGGAGTGCCTGGATCTACTGGTGTAGATGGCTTCCACCTGGTGGTATGGCACGTCCTCCACAGCATGAACGATGCTGGAGTGCCTGGATCTACTGGTGTAGATGGCTTCCACCTGGTGGTGTAACACGTCCTCCACAGCATGAACGATGCTGGAGTGCCTGGATCTACTGGTGTAGATGGCTTCCACCTGGTGGTATGGCACGTCCTCCACAGCATGAACGATGCTGGAGTGCCTGGATCTACTGGTGTAGATGGCTTCCACCTGGTGGTGTAACACGTCCTCCACAGCATGAACGATGCTGGAGTGCCTGGATCTACTGGTGTAGATGGCTTCCACCTGGGGGTATGGCACGTCCTCCACAGCATGAACGATGCTGGAGTGCCTGGATCTACTGGTGTAGATGGCTTCCACCTGGTGGTGTAACACGTCCTCCACAGCATGAACGATGCTGGAGTGCCTGGATCTACTGGTGTAGATGGCTTCCACCTGGTGGTGTAACACGTCCTCCACAGGATGAACGATGCTGGAGTGCCTGGATCTACTGGTGTAGATGGCTTCTACCTGGTGGTGTAACACGTCCTCCACAGCATGAACGATGACATCATTTGCATAATGCTTGCCAGGCGTTTGGCAAATTTGGGAAGAGGTGGAAATCTGACGATGACAAATCTTGTCTTTATTGAAGATGATCAATGAGTTCAAAGCTACAGTCATGCGTTGCAGCCATGGTGACAGCAGACTTATGCACGGGTGGAACAACACACATTCAGTGAGTTTTCGGTGACGGTTGGCCTAGGTATTCTCGCGCAGGTGCCCAAGAAGATTAGCATAATATTTTTCATTACTTGTCTGACCCTTCCGGAGGTAGTCCATCTTTGGAATCCATGAAAACCGAAGCCATCGAACAGACTGCCTTCTTTTTAGGTTACGTCAGATGTTTCCGCTGCTTTGACTGTTGTTTAGTCTCTGACAGTTAAGTGATTAAATTGTGAACCCAAGGCCCATCCATACTTACAAATCACTAACAACAAAATCAGCCGGGTCTGTTTCAAAACGACATATATTCGCACTAGAGAGGATGAACCTCAAGTCAGAAGCCTTGTAACCAGCGTGCTGAAGCGATTGTCATGCCCAGTTCATTACTCAAAATGTTCTCAACTCTCATGAGATGCCTACTGTCGCGGGGTGAGTCGTCGATCATTCGTAATCGTATCATATATTTTATCAACATATTTCTTTCTGATCTTGGATCATCTTCGAGGCTGTCTTCTCCCCTCTTGAACTCTGCTGCCCACCGCCTAACAGTGGCAAAAGAAGGAACATCATCCCCTGAAGTCACCATGTCCACATGCAGGGGTGATGAGATTTAGTTAGAGATACTAAATTACTTGATGACAGTGTGTTGGTCAATTTTGTCCATTTTCAACAGAGAATAAATACCTAGTCACTTGGTTTAAATGCATCCTGTAAGCCTGGAAAGTGCTGTATGTAATGCATAGAAACTGTTATCGTGACATCATTTGTAGTTAGGTGCACAACATGTCATTATGCTATCAGGATACCTCCAGTAATTGAGGATGTATTGGTAATATTGAATCCCGTGGAGGGACCAGAGACAATTTGCCACAGAATAATCCTGGATACGACATAGTTCTTTACAGTAAGACTTCAGCAGCTTGTTCGATACACTCCTTGTGACATATGTTAGTGACAGTAAACTGTGTGAAATGAGGCGTGTGTAAACGTACCCACTGTTTCACAATGTGTTTGTTTAATATATACAGTCAACAGCATTAATGCTAAACCCCTGCAGCCTGTAAATAATCGTGTATTGATCAAACCAGTGATTGGCATTTTGAGCAATGTCCCATGCTGTGGGGGTTATGAGGACAGGCAATCACCAAGTCTGATCCCAATCCATTTAGTCGCCTTGTATCACAAACATTGGTTGCGGAGTACCTATTCAAACCTGAATCCCCACAGAGTCCAGGGTAAAGTTTGATGAATCCCACAAGTAATAGCATGTTGCCAATAGACTAAGGAAATGAGGAAAAGTCTGGGATTCGAAACCACATCATGCAGATCCTGACATGATTAAGGGTTGCAACTCACACAGAATATTGCTCATATAGCGTTGACCTCAGGACTTGAAATAATCACAACTCAACTGTTCGCTCAGCCGTTCAGTCGGTACTGTCATAATGCAAGACTAAAGTGAAAATAAATAAATGGTAAATTACAAATATATTGTTTACTTCAAATAATACACATGAAAACAGGTCAACAAACAACAAAATATGAAGCACCAAATATTCAGCTGATCAATTGCCACAATAACCAATAAAATTCTTTGAAGTTCTATATTATTCCACATCAACCACACTGGTAGTATTACCTCGTGAGTTCATGCCATGGACTATGTACAAATCAAACTATATTTGCCAACTGAATTATTCAGGGAATAACCTAGCTACATGTACTAGGACTTACAGATTATCTGTCCCGTAGTGAAAGCTCAGACCCTTTATGGAGGAACTTACATGCACATCAACCATTCACAAGATAATCTATCTTACTCATTCTCATTTCAAGAAACGAAACATAATCAACATTTACTTTGCTGAAATTAACTTATTATTCAGATGACATAATATTATCCATTTGTGAAGTCGCTAAAAATGGATGATGTCATGTTGAATTGTTCTGTCAAAGAGCTTTAATTGAACTTTAGTGAGATTCTCTTAAAAGCAATTGCCAACATTTAATTGATCTTTCTAACCTCATGGGCAATATAACATGTAAGTGGAGAAGTTAATGTTTTGAGAAAATATCAAGAAAAAGTCATAGTCAGCCTCTATAGCATCAAACTATTCAGGGGATATGATGGTGTCTTAAGACCAGGCACAGGTGGCCTGTTGTCCAAGCCATCACAAACCGATGTACTGTGTCCTTTAGGCTCAACAGAATCGCAAGGTTCGAACCCACATTCACCCTGATTATCATTCATGGCACATGTGCTTGTGGGTTCAACAAAATGCACAGACATATCTCACAGGTTTTCCCTCCTGTATAAAATTGACTCTCTGAAATAACTGAAATACTATTGAAAGCTGCCTTACTCACTCACTCGCTATGATTGTACCTAGTGTTACCAGGGAAACAATGTCCACTGAGCCTCCTAGGTTCTCACTAACAGTAGAGATTGAGCGAGTTTGATTTTACGCCGCTTTTAGCAATATTCCAGAATATCATGACGGGGGACCCCAGAAATGAGCTTCATACTTTTATCCATGTGGAGAATCGAACCTAGCCTTCGGTGTAATGAGTGAACGTTTTAACCACTAGGCTACCCCACCTCCCCCAACTAACAGTATATTTAATGAGCTGTATTGAGTATTTTTCATAGTTATACCACCCAGCACTTGATGCTGGGCAACCTTCTGTCCCATAGTGACTGTACATGCACAAGGGAGGCAGATGCACCACCACACAACAAGAAATTGGAATGTACTTAGAATGAGCATCTGCAGAAACTTGGATGAGTGGTTGCGATATGTTAGTGCAACAGAAGATTCATTTAGATACTTAGTTATAAAAGTAGATTTCTTTCATAGTTTGCAGGGTAATATATTTCATAACATCACACTTTCTAATATGATCATAGGAATGAACAAAGTTATTCACAGACATGTACATACCAAGTATTAATTAACCATTCCACCTAATGCTACACACAACATACCAGAGCAAATAAACAAACTGTTTCAATGAACCAACAGGAGAAAATGTGAGTTTGGCAACTTCATGTTGTTTTGTGATATACTGTTCCATATTCCTAGACACAAGACTTCTAGATTTCCACTTTTGTATTCCTCTCAAGGCTCCTCCTTACACCTTCATCAGGGGGAATCCCTTCACCTTGAGCCTCTGTAAACTACCAATGTCTCAATACCTATCAAAGATTTGCCTCATATTGTTTTACGACACATGCATATAAGTCATGTCATGTAGTTTGCTATACATAATAACTTGACGTTTAATAAAATATTGCTTTATGTTGTTTCATCATGTATGTTGCATGTATAGCACGTCTCTTGTTATGAACTCGTCATATTCCACAGTCAAGCAGCTGCGGACTTCTCATGCAGTGGCAAGGCAACATATCACACAGATGTAGGTCCAATACTTCAGGCTCCCAAGGTCATATGCTTGATCATGTCTGAAGCAAGAAAACAACTATCATCAATTTGTTGTTGCAATGTAATTACATGATATGATATATAAGTAAAACCCAAAGTTATTCAGTTAGATGGTTTATTTCAGAAGAGGAATATGACATTCAGCTCAGAATTAATGACTTAAATTTACGAAGAACATGAAAAATGAAATGTTGAGATTAAAATTGAAGAAAACAGAAGGCATACCTCTACCAGGGCAGAACCTACAGCATTCAAAAAGCAATCGGTTAGTGCATTCCAGCTTTCTATAACAACCAGCAACAAAAGAATAGCGCGACCAAATAGCCACATCGCCTAATTTTCCTGCCTAATTACAGACCCCATCACCCAATTCATATAGAACCCAGATCGCCTAAAATCTGTGATCACTGGACCACAGCGCTTCACTACAGCAGGCCAAATAATTAGACAGGGGTGATTTTATAATTCTGACATCTGCTGTTTATTTATTCTACTGATGACTTAAAGAACATAGCCTACCACACAGTAATGACTGACTACATTCATAAACAAGACAACAGCGTTGTCACTATCCCCCGCCATAGGGTGCATTAGAATATTGACAAGTCTTGACAAGAATCTCTTAGATAAGCATGAAACTTTCATTCATGTAACTTCAGTAGTTTCTGAGAAAACCTGTCCCCATGTTACACACTAAGTTGAAAAGCACAGAGCAAGGGCCATAACTCTGTGAAAATAAATTTAGACCCCAATTTTCGAACTCATTTAATATCATGACCAGCAATATCAGTGTGAAAAATCTCATTTCTCCAACTTAAATAGTACCAACAATACTTCAGGTAAGAGAGATGTACTTCATTTCTGAGCAGGAAACAGAAATATTTAGAAGCATATTATTTCTGTTAGTGTATGACATTTTCTAGAATGGCGAATGTCATTTCGACAACTGGTCCGCAGAATCAAATCTCTTCCCCTGGATCAAGTTGACCACATTAATAGGAAAAGGATTGTATGGTAACGTGGTAAATAATGCTAAGTGTACACTGAGATTGTTTGTATTGTACAAACCAAATCAAGCACAGAAAACCCTCCTAGCGTTATAACTTGTATCTCTCTCATAGGTGAAAATTAGGCGAAGTGGGTGGACACCAATAGACAGCAATAAAAGCAGAGCATTCAAGTGGAACATCATAAGTAACAATAGCATTTTGAGGAGAGTTGATTAGTGACAGTGCAGAAATGCATACATGCCATCATACTAGATGTCTCATACTCATGTTCTTGAAGTAAGTATGGCATGGGGCACACGTTAATATGTTTAAGTGTGGCATGGGGCACACGTTAATATGTTTTAGTGTTCCCTTTTGAGGTATAGTGGAAATAGTCTTGATCCATCATCAAACTCGGTGAAGGTAAAATGTAATTTCACCAAGGCTAGATAACAAGTTGTTGTAATTTTGAAAGTTTACTCCCTTCTTTATCACTGAGATTTATAATACCCTATTTTATTACGTATACCAAATATATTTGGGCGAATCGTACTGTACATGAAGCGTGTTCACGTGTTAATCACTTTGATTTGTCTGTCACATTTATTTGTGGTTCACTATTAACCATTAAACACCAACGCCAGAGAATAGCACTCTCCATTATCCATGGAAACAAAATCCAAAAGGCTTTATGACAACCTGGAGGTGATCTCATGAGAACAATGTCACTAGGTGTTACTGTTAATATTAAAATTGGATTTCTAAGTGTGGCCTTCAGGCATCAGATACTTCTAATTAGCGTGCAATCCGCACTCAAATATCCAAGGAAGTTTAAACCCTGGCAACTCAGGACTGATGTCATCTCTAAACAGAACTGATGGCTGAGGATTCTTATTTCATCAATAAAAATAAAAAAAAGATATTATGTCACAGTCAGAGACAAAGAAGCACCAAATTTCAAGCTCTCTGTTGTCCCTATTTGAAATAAATTCTTAGTCAACAATGGTCAATAGCTACAGCTTCACATTGTAAACACAGTATTATGTTACAAAAAGACATTGCAACAAGTTTCAAGATTGTTTGGCATAACACCATATCATTCGTTTATTGAATAAACGTTGATAAATACATATAAATGAAATAAATACATGTAATTAATGAAAAGAACAGTGATTGGTCTGTGTTGGTCACTTGTGAACATCATCCTTAATACAGCCCTGATCATCATGGAGTGAGCGGGGTTTACACAGTTTTGCCACTTTCAACAATGTTATGGCAATATTCCAGGCAGATCACATTGGGAGACACCAGAATCAAACTGTGGCGTGGCAGGGCGAGCGAATGCATTAAACACTATGGAAGTGTGATATTCAACATAAACATAGAAATGATGAATAGAAAACATAATTTGGAATTTCATTTCACAGATTCCATTGGGCGTAAAAGTCAAAACAGTGGCGAAAATTATGAATATGGATCGCTGAGAACAAGTCAGTCACATAATATTCTATGCTATCATGCATACTAACTATAATTTGTACTGACAACAAGAAGACAATTTGCAAAACAGACATACAACAGGCAAGCAATAAGAGTGTTAGCAAAGAGTCTGTCCTCCAGGCACACTAAGTAAGAAACAGACGAGCAGATGACAGATATACTGAAGTATACGAGAACATTCCACTGAAATAGGTGACTTTGTTATGTTTAGAATTCAGCGTATGCTCCATCACACACATCTATATCTAGGTAGGGCTCTCACGGGTACCAAAATCACTACGCGAGTGCTCGTTAGTTATTACTTGTCAATCATTCCTGTACTTGCCTGCAAGTTATCAGTTTGGCCAAATCACTGGAGCTAACAAGCCCTCTAGGCTCTGAACCCTGTGTCAATAAACTAGGTGACTTCCTTGGTTGAAACAAACCTTGAAGGAAATCTGACAGTCGGAAATTATCAGAATAAAAAATGTCAGTTAAATATAACAGGCATGTAACAATTGTAACTAGTTAGATTCATACAGCCATGCTGTTTCGCATTCCACAGCACTCGCAACAAATAGTAGTCAATTTCACCAAATCATTGGAGCAAACAGGCCCTCTAGGTGACTATGGGGGCATGCCGAAATGAATGCATACAATACAGTTTCCGGCAATATCAACATTTTGAGCACAGTTTACCCTCGTATTTGTGATTTGAAATGACCATTATTTTGTTACTGTTTTCAGAAAATTCATGAAATGTACATACACACGTATGTCCCAAAAATCCTAAAATATTTTGCATACAATTTTAGAAGTAATGCTTCTTTAAAATATAATTGACAAGGAAACCTGTTCTTTCATCACACAGCAAAACACTTTACCCTACTTCCAGTGCACTTGTCTGATATGTACCTGTCTGGCTTGTATGGACTACTGTGCTCCAGTGATGGTCAATTTATCCATGGTAAACAAATCTCAATAAAAAAGAACAAATCTCAATAAAAAAGAAGGCTGGATGAAAATAAGTTTTAAAGAGTAGATATGTTGTTCCAAAATGTAATCATCTAGAAACTGAATCTTCTAAAAACAATGAAACCAAACAAGTCCAAAATTGTCCATGCAGGTGAAAAGAGAGAGAGTTAGAAAGCATCAAGCACCACTGGCACCGCAGGAAGAGTGTGGTGATAGACGTCAAGAGACTTGTTGGAAGTCACGTTGGAAATGGTTACCCATGTATAGGCACGCGTTGTTCCGTTGACAACTGGTTTAGCTGTGGACAGCCCAGACATGTCGGCAGGTTCGGGACGGAACACGTAGATGTCTGTTGTAATGGTCTGTATAAGAATGACCACGCCCACCAAGACAATGTACCAGTACTTCTCTACGCCCTGAAACACACATGGAAAGTAAAGCAAGCCATTTGCAACAACTTACTACATAAGTGGTTATTATTAGCCTTTTTCTAAGGTAATGGATTTAACTGACTTTAAAAGTCGAGTTTCCACCCTTGCCAAACTAGGCTGGAATTCCATGGCACGATTGTACAGCCACCACTAGCTATTACCAGTTATGTCCCTTCCATGGCTCTCCTATTGACCAATCAGATTCCACCTATATTACTTGCCTTTGAATCGAATAAAATGGCGGTGCCCAGTCAAGGTGGTCTGATCGATAACAAAGATCTATATTTTAATAAAATGGGTCAAATTATTTGAGCACCTTGATTAAAAACATGAAAAGATTTGGAAAATATCTGTAGCCCCGAGTTGAAGGTACAAATGCTTTGCAAATCCTGCAATCGACTTAAATTTGCATGGCAGTTTACGAACAGGATGTCGATTTCGTCACGTGATTTTCATTGGACTATGCATAGACTTGTTAGTCCAACCATAACATAACTCCGAAACTTCAGCCTAGTTCAGAAAGGGTGGAAACTGGACTTTTATAGTGAGTAACCTCCCTTGCCTTTGGGAAGAGAAAAATGAGGGACCAGGGTGCCTTTGTACAAACAACCTTAGCACTTTGACAGTCGTAGGTCTATGTGAAGGTACGGGAGTTACGATCACCTTAGCCCTTAAGATCACTTTGTTCAATGGCAGCCTGTAAGGACATTACCTACTCAACAGCGCTTCACCCACTGGGTCTGTCTGTTTGTGAACCAGTGGTAGAAACTAACATTTTTTGTCCACTAGTTCATATAATGATAACATATAGCAAAACCCTTCAAAATGGCAAATTTCTACTAGTCCTTATGATACGTTAACTATTGGGCAGTTTGGCAAGGACTGCAGGACTACTGCCAATTTCTAATCCTGTGAGCAGTAGGGATAACTCTAGGGATGTAAACGGGAGCCCAGGTTGACCACGGTAACTACATATCTTCTACATGCTGGCACAATTAACGTTCAAGAATTATAATGACATCGTAATATTACAAAAGCTCTCATCTCTGTGTCAATAAACTAAGTGATTTCTTTGCTTGAAACAAAACTTAGTGATCATGTGAAGGAAATCTGACAGTCAGAACTAATCAGAAATGTCAGTTAAATATAACAGGCATTACAGTAAACAGTTACAGTAAACTATGGTTAACACGAACTTGAAGGGAGTGCTAATTTTAGTTCGTAATAACCGTAGTTCATTATAAGCATATATACAGCATTTACATAACAAATGGTCGGGACTAAAAAGTAAGTTTGTTATATCGGTCAGCTCGTTATAAGCGTGTTCGTTTTAAATGTAGTTTACTGTAGTTAGATTCAAACAGCCATGCTGTTCCGCATACCATGGGATTCGCAGCAAATATTATTTGCATTGATTCTCATTATTGGTGTGTACAGGACCTGTGTACATGTATTTATTGTTCAGCACAACCTTGGCCGACTCATCTGACTTCCAACATAAGCGGAGTAAAAGAAGCTAGATAAATACAGAAGGATACTCCCTGGACCATAAGGGATACTGAAGATCAAGTTCGCAAGGTTTCACTCTGTACACGTTTCCAAGTACAGTCAAGTCTCGTTAATCGTACACTCGTTAATCCGACAATCGGCTTTATCCGACACTAATCATGGGAACTAATTAAATCAGTGCTATTTAGACCCGTTAATCGGAAAGGCACGTACTCCGACTCTGACACACCTAATTCGTAACAAATTATCGAAATCACTCATTAATCAGTCTCGTTAAACCGACACACTCCGTTGTCATCTGCCTGCGAGTACACAGCTCCGTGTTTTGATGCGAGACGAGTCAGCTGGTAGTTGCATATTACAATGGCTGCAGAGATAAACTTGCTTAACAATAAACAATTAATACTTTAAATAAACAAAACAGATACAAATTCTCACTACCGCTTAGAACATCCCATTACATGTCAAGTCTTAGCTTATTAAAGTATTTCGAGTCAGTCATACAGCCCGTAACAGCAGTCTTGTGTTGAGCTTTAGAGGTTGCATGATTAGAAAAAATATTCCGCTAACATTGTAACATAACAATAGGATTATTTCATTTTTCATTTTTATTATTACAACGTGATTGTATATTACCTGTCGTGTAGTTGCCCGATTTTAGATCATGAACGTTGATACTACTTAAATTTCGTTTATCCGACATACTCGTTAATAGGACTTAACCATATGCAACCAACCATGTCAGATGTACAGGACTTGACTATATATTCCTCAGTTAACATACCTAACCTAAAATAATATACACAAAGGTGAGGAGAAAGATACTTACTAAGTCTCCATTTCGATACCACCAATTCTGAAAAAGAAGTAAGAAATCAGCTGCATGAATATTATATCCTATCAGTTTAAGTGATAAGACTGACAGAGATAAAACACAGGCACTTAGAGTATGTGCTATAGATGATCCAAATATGAGAGGACACTGACCTGAAGATGATAATCTTACATAGCAGACTTTTGACATGTACTACATTGTATGTCTGGTAAACCAAAGGGTCTTGGACCAGCTGTATTGTTATCAAATGTCAGAAATTGGAAAACAGACTTTATATAACACTAAAACTTTGGAGACTAAATGTTTTAATAATGTAATATTATTGAAATCAATAATAGGAACATAAGGCATTTTCCATAACTTTTTTAAAAAGTCAGTAACATATTTTGGACGTGAGGAGAGGACAAAAGGTACACGTAATACATTCCTTATACCATGTATGCAAATGATCTTGCTAAATATTGTGTCTTGTTTGTTATTGTGTTACAACTGGTACATGTTGTATTTCAAGGTTGTTTGTTTGGAAATAAATAGTTTCTCGCAATGCAAATATCACAAACTTACCACTACGACTCCAACAAAACTGCTGACTGAAATATAAGAAATGAGTGATTACAATAGTGTATCCGCGGAATTCCCGAGGCAAGGGAGATAACTGACCATAAAAGTCCTGTTTCCACCTTGCCAAACTAGGCTTGAATTGAAGCGGCTATTATGAGTGATGTCCCTTGTATGTCCCTAATTGACCAATCAGATTCCACCTATCATATCACTTGCATTTGCTTCAAGCAAAATGGTGGCGCCCAGTAAAGACGATCTGACTGATAATCAAGATCAGTATTGCAATAAAACGGGGGTCTTACTTCGCGAAGTGCATCAAATCGTGTCAGTACCTTGTTTATAAACATGAAAAGATGTGGAAAATATCTGTTGATGCCGAGTGGACGGTACACATGCTTTACAAATCCTCCAATTGACTGAAATGTGCACGGCAGCTTACGAAACCGGATATTGATTTCATTGCGAGATTTTGATTTGAATATGCATAGCCTCGTTAATGCAGCCAACATATAACTCCATAATTCTAGTCTAGATCGGCAAGTGTGGAAACTGGACTTTTACAGTTGGTTAACTCCCTTGACTCGGGAAGATGTGTATCAGTGTGATACAAATAAAGTGATACAAAGAAAGACCTACTACAGCCAGTGAACCAGTCAGGCTGTCTCATGCAATTACAAGTCATAGATGACAATGATACTCAAATGGACGACTGAAACACGTGGCACTGAAGATCTGGGTTAGAATATAGGTCTTCAGCAACCCATGCTTGTCGTAAGAGGCGACTAACGGGATCGGGTGGTCAGGCTCGCTGACTTTGTTGTTTCATGTCATCGTGACCGCCTCCGTGGTCTAGTGGAACAGCGTCCGCCCGGAGAGCGGAAGGTCCGGGGTTCGATCCCCGGCCGCGTCATACAAAAAGACGTTAAAAGATTGTACTTGTTGTTACCCTGTCTGGCGCTCGACATTAAGGGGCTAAAACAAGGACTGGTCGGCTCGGAGTCAGTATACTGTGTCTGAGTGGGGTATTCATGTTAAACTGCGGCATGGTATCTCAGTGAGCTAGCACTATAAATCGGCATCAGTCCGGACTAGTACAAGCAGCTACACACACACATACACGTGCATGCACGTCGCTATATAAGTGCAATAATCTTGGACGCGATGTTAAACCCAATTTCACCTCACCTCACCTCATGTCATCGTATCCCAATTGTGTAGATCGATGCTCATGATTGTATTTGCTGGTCTAGATTTTTATCATTTACAGACCGCCGTCATATAGCTGTAATATTGCTGATCGCGGCGCAACATAAAACAAACTAGGAAGGTTCATGTGTCTGCTTGTTCCCGTTACAATTATGATTACTGGTTCGGTGAGCAATGTGAGAAAACCTGCCCCAGGAGATACGGCATTAACAACAAACAACTTCTGTCAGTGCGTGTGACCAAAGGTGAAAGATGATACCACAATATTTTCACTATTATTTCACCTTGTATTTCAGTGTCATTAGTAGATTACTTACTGACAGTATTGCAGGCCAACAGATAGTAGGACTTATTGGTTGTGTTTGCTTGTATAAGGCACAGGATAAACGCAATCTGTTGGGGAAAAATACAGAGCTCTAACAAACAGGGTAATGTATAAACAGTAATACCATAACTATATTGGAACTCTCCTACCCTGAAGGCGATATTGTTAACTTAGAAAATATCTTTTGACATTGAATTGGGTAAACCATAAACATATACCAAATTCAATTACTTTCACTGTCATACACAACCACCACCTTGAGGCATTGCTCAAGGACCCGTGAAGATCCGGGGTAGAATAGGTCTTCAGAAACCCATGCTTGCCAAAAAAAGGCGACTACGCTTGCTGTAATAGGCAACTATGCTTGTGGTTAGAGGAATGGGATTGGGTGGTCAGGCTTGCTGACTTGGTTGATGCATGTCATCGTATCCCAATTGCATGGATCGCGATGCTCATGATGTGAATCACTGGATCATCTGGTCCAGACTCAATTAATTACAGACCGCCGCCATATAGCTGGAATATTGCTGAGTGTGGCGTTTAACAACAAACAGAAAAAAAACCATTGCTCAAGACATATCATTGTTACAGTTCCGGGGATTTATCTAGACCTGGTCAGATGCTGATTTGGCCCCAAGTCTGCAGCAACTGTCAGTAAAAATTGCCAAACTGGAATTACAAATTTCCCATAACCACAACCAGGATCACTGTGTAACATGATTTCTGAATTATTCTTGTTTAATGAAATATCATAATTTACATCACAATATTTGCAGTCTTCCTCAAATGGAGCATGTCATGAATATATATACACATACAGGCTACCTCTACACAGCCATAAAAGTATTTATTAGTTGTTGCATGAATTGGGAAATGTGCATAATTACAATTTGGAAATTCTGAATGACGTTTGCTATAGACTTGTGGCTGAATATCAGAGCAGGTCTAGAAAAACACTGTCCACATTGTCATAAAACACCCAGATCATATGTGTCAGAATTTGTTGATATTTGGAGACTTGGGGCTCAATATTGGTCTCTGAGCAGGTCTGGATAAATCCCTGTGAAGTGATCAGTTCTGATCTTCATATTCACAGAGAGTGATTATTTTATTTTCGAAGTCATTGGCTAATATTTTACTGAGATAGTTTCTCTTGGACATCAAATCTTACCCCAACCATGAGCAGCACGATGACATTGAACATTCGGACCAGAAACACCTACAATGAAAGAAGATAGATCATAATTAGTTAAATACACAAGTACCGGTACACTATAGATGAATGTAAAACATCAAAACTCAGCATCTGGAACATTTGCTGCCAGTTGATATCGCATTAGGCTCTGTAGTTCACATGTAGTTTGGATATTATATTATAGAACAAATACTGTAGGGTTGAAATCAAAATCAAATTATCACAAATGGTGAGGTGAGTTGAAATAAGTAAAACAAGAATTGTTTTTCACAGAAATAATGAACTCTTCTTTATGTATACTCTGGAAATTCACCTTACCCTCTTTGAACCTAATTCTAACTTGTTACCTTGGAAACAGAAAAAAAATTAAAAGTAAGAAAATTCTTACTCCAGTACATGCATGACTGATGTGTATACAAAGAAATATTGGTTTATGAGTTTTGTGATGTGTTGAACTGCTTAAGAAGAGGACACGAAGCAAGCTCTGACAACCCAATCTCAAAACAAAACGTTTATCATGGCATATACCACAATAAATTTAAATAATAATTCAGTAACTGTGACCTTTTTCTATTTCCCCCTAATTGATTCAGGGAATCGATGATCAATTGCTATAGTTGATAGCCGGCACATACTTACCAACACTATGTTCATTTGTCTCCCTGATGCTGGATACACCTTTCAGTTCCCATCAAGCCATCATCAATGAACAATACCATGAACTGAATCTATGCTTTGTTTGTGTGTTGTTTAACGTCACACTCAGCAATATTCAAGCTAGATGACGGCGGTGTGTAAATAATCAAGACTGGACCAGACAATCCAGTGATTGACATCATGAGCATCGATCTATGCAATTCGGATGTGATGACATGCATCAACCAAATCAGCAAGCCTGACCACCCGATCCTGTTAGTCGCCTCTTACGACAAGCATGGGGAATCTATACAGTGACACGGAATCAATAAGCAGCATCAATGAAGCAAATTTTCCAGACAGAAATGTTTTAATTTTGCCATAGAAACTGATTGAAATGTCGTAATTTATCATTAAAATCAAATCGGTAACAATATATCAGAGTATCAATATTTTGTTCATGATATACTTTTTGGGGTAAAACTGCCAAAGCATAATTTTTTTCTATTTCCAGATGAACCGAAGGATACATAAGTTGAAATTCAGTGAATGAGTGAGTGAGTGAGTGAGTTAAAATTTTAAGTCACATCGGCAATATTTCAGCCATATCGTGACTATCAATGGTTAAATATAATACATATATTGAAGCTTATATAAAAAACTGCCAACGAGGGACAGTAAAATAACTAGACTTATCACAGAAATAAAGTTAAAACTAGTATGTAATCATAAAATCAATAGCACGATACAAAACTTGACATTATAAAAACGGGCTATAGATCGCCAGCAACTAATTCACTGAATGAAGTTTTATGCCACCACATATGTCTGGTTATAGCCATACACCACCAACTCCATGTCTGCTATTTATTTCATTCATTTGTATCAATGGTGTGCAACAATGATGTAGAGACGGAGCTAAGCATAATACCTCATAAGCACCAAAAGCATAAGCATATTTGACTGCTTAATCATGTGTTGATAGATTGAGTAGAATAGGATGTCTTTGAGGTTTGTATCGTTGTAGGAGTTAACAACATTTGTTATTATCACTGTATAGTTCCCCCTGGTAGTTTTTTACCCATTTTTCAATCACGATGCACAAAGGGAATGAGTGAGAGAGGTGTTACACTGTTTTAAGAGTATTTCAGTTATATAAGCAATGCAGATTAACAAGGATTTTGACAGTTTGGTGAAATCCAAAGATTTGGAAAACAATGACAAATCTGGGGATTTGAATACAAAATCTTCAGATTCTGGTACAACTAAGGGACACAACTCTGCTTAGCAGATTACATTGTCTTGGATGATCGCACCGCCTGTACATCTTTTAAGGAATACAGAACTGGTACTTCTTAAAACAAGCTTAGAAATGAGGCACACTTAACCATTTGGAAACATCAATTTCAACAGTAACTTTGCACAAGAATAGCTACATAATTGCTGTAAATTGCTTGTTCAACATGGCTGCTGAGTGGCATCTGAGGAGATGATGTGTACACCTTCAGTGAGAGGAAATGCATTTGGAGAGAATTTGGGAGAATTGTCAAAGTGCAAAGTATATGTAGCTTGGAAAATTTGAAATATCACAAAAGACAGAACAGATACCAGTATGTTGAGTCCTACTACTAATACATACCACATTTGAAATGGTGGAATAATGGCCATAAATAGGCCATGGCAGCCATATTAAAAACTGGATTTCAACCTTTAAACAAATTTATTTAAGGTGTCATCATTTGTGGGAACACGTTTGTAAGGTTCTGCTTCATTTGTCCAGTGGTTTCTGAGGAGAAGATGCTTACGCCGGACAAACACACGCTGGACACAAGACAAACAAGCCATGACATATGCTCACTTGACTTTCAGCCAGGTGAACAATTGGGAACATGATAATGGTATGGATAAAAATATTCCAGACCTCTAGTAAAATGAATTTCCTATAAACCAAATATGTAGGTCTAGCATAACCATTAGCAACAGCTTGAAGTATGGATCAATATGTTTTATGTTTGGTTCTGTCTATATATAGTTAGAAGTGATAGAATTCATGGCAACAGATGTCAAAATTGCTTTGCTAGTGTAGAAAACATTTGATCAATGTGACTTTTGTCAGCATTTTAACAAGATTTAGTTCATAACTGAAAATTCAAATTGGAAAAGTTTATTGTCTATAAACATTAGAAAAATCTTGATTTTTTTATTAAAGAACTGCAACTGTAATAATTGTAGGACTTACAATAACAACTTTTCTTTTTCATTTAGATATTTTCACATTGATGCATTGAGATAGTCTTGACATGTGATCCTTTTACGCCATCCTACTTATAGGCTAAACACCTACCTTGGAAAAGTAGGGCAGAAGGTGTTTTTTTGTTGGCATGGGTACAGATATGTACCCCAGGTATGTTTCTGTATACAGAAATGGGTAGTAGTGAACTTTACGGGGCGCACTTTTTCAGATCCAACGTGCTTCGCCAGCTCACCGGCTTGGCTAATTAATGTATTAATTGGCCGATGCTCTACCTCTGGACCATGAGCGCTATCACATGTAATCAGTGCTCGTTTAACGGGTCATAAGCACCCCCTGAACATGCATGCGCAAGGAAGTAAACAATGACTTGCGCATGCGTGTGACGTCACGCTCTGCCATCCCATTCATCTTTTCTTGAAGCCACACCCGCCATTGTTTATATCAACATGACGAACCAATCGAGCAACGCTATGGTGTATGACAAAATGTTTCACACCACATTCGATTGCATCACTCGTGTGATTACCCTAATCAGATTACTAGGATAACGCTTTGAAAAGGTGAGAATTTATGGCTAACCCTAAAGAGGGAAAAGGGGTGTTGGATCGTAAGGAGTGTCAGTTTCCCTGAGACTGAAAAGGGATGTTTGATTGTAAAGGCGTGTCAGTTTCCCTAAGACCGAAAAAGGGGTCTTGGATCATAAAGCGAGAGCCACTGGAGCATGAGCCACGGTAACGGTATAGCGAGACAGTGGTCGCACTATAGCATGGTAATTAAGTGGATGGAGGCGCTTGGGCTGCGCCTGGTAAACTGCATTGTTGCCCAGAAATGTACCCTAGCCAAAATATAGAATACAGAAACGTATCTGGGTATCGTGGTACTTGTCATTTATTTTATCTAAATATCCGGGATATGCATATTTTACTAATAAAAGTTCATTATTTACATAAGTATAGTGCCAAGTAAAAGAAATTACCGTATTCGACGTAATAAGCACCCTGCTCTAATAAGCGCCCACGGCGATATTTGCTAATATATTGGCTAGTGAACAATACCAATTAGCACCCCTTCCGATTGATCAATGTACACAACACTTATTCATTCGTGTATAATACGTACGTGTTATTCAAATAAGAGCCCCCTATTTCTAATTTTGAGAGCGCCCTTGGCGCTTATTACGTCGAATACGGTAATAGGTATTCAAAGCATATTCACCAAAAAATAAGATAAAAATATTTTAAAAAATCAACAATAAAATATCAGAAATTTAAGATATTTAAGATTTTTGTTTAAAATAACAATAATTTGTCCAAACAAACGTGGATATATCTAGGCCTAAAGAAAAAAAATAAAGAAAAACTACTCATTTAAATAAGAATGCCTGCACCACAGTATTAAGCAATTACGGAACACATCTGAAAACAATTTAGAAAAACAAATCGAGAGCAAAAGCAATATTTCAAAACTCAATATCAATTGAAGCGCCTAATAATCTCTGAAAGCGCGTGACAGACGTAATGAACACCGGTCATGTGCATGGGGAATGATACATAGTCACAGGGTAATATGACAGGGAAAATAGACAATTAAAATGAATACACGTACAATGGTTGGTGAAATGTCATAGTAGATCGCAGAAGTATCTGTTGTTGTTGCTGAACTTGGCTGACTTGAAGCTGGACGCACTGGCGCTGTACTGCTAGGGTCCGCCATCTTGATGTCATATGACCATTGCCACGACTGAATTCCGTTACATTTATGTTGATTGGTTGACTGTTCGAGGTTATCCAATCACCGCTCGTATACCATCCATGCACCTGTAGCAGACGAGGCACGAGGATTTCTGTCAATCTGTCAACACGGAAGTATTGCCGATAGTTATTATTGGATTTTGTGATATTTAGGTTGATTTGCAGATTCGCACAATGTCGGACGAAAGGTCATCGATTCTTTCAGGTAGACAAACTTCAACTACACCATCCAGTGACCCAGATGCAATCTACCATGACAGTTCCCAGTCTCCCAAAGCGGTAAGATCTTCAGCCAGCCACCTGACCAAGACCTGCTGACAGAAACGCACCTGTAGCATGATGTCGGAAGTTCCTGTCACGAGCTCATGAAAGTTACAATATCAGTGTCACTCTCAGTTAAATACATTATTGATGTCAATACTTTAGATGTGTTTGTTAAAAATGAACATCTGATAATAACAAACTGACAGATTGTAAAAATAATAATGGGCATAAATATGGATAATAATGTGTAGAATAAACTGAGAAAACTCGCATGTTTTTACTCCATATATATTAAAAACCCACGTAAGTGATTGCTGCCAATCAATAATGACAATATATCATCATCTTCTAGTGCGCACAACCTGTGCTGTTAATCATTGCAAGACAACTCTGGGGATTCTGGGATAGAATTTGTCTAGGGCAGTGACGAGTCAAAATTTACTACCTGTGTAGCCGACCCCCTTTTACCCAGGTATACCCGCTGTAGGTCTCAAGAGTTAGGTACAATGTGTCCGATTGGTAATTGTTTTACCGGAGCAAAAAGTATTTATTTATATTTATTCAAACATATAAAAATCAGAATGAATGTGTGCACAGTCAGAAAGAACTGCAAACATTAGTGACTTGTAGTGTAACCATGCATGGAGTTATAGGGAATTTTTTTCCTAAAACAATATATCACGTGACTTACCACAGGTCCGGGTAGTCCTGTGGGTACATTGGTCCAACTCAGTACCACCCAACTTGTGTACCTGAGTGACTTGTCCCAGCCCTAAATTGGTCCCTTCTAATCTATGCTCATGATGCTTGTCATGAGCATCAATGGAAGGAATTAACCTAAAACATCTACTACTACAGTACGGCTACATGTACCGGATGTACCGGTACTAGTCTAAATAGTGATAATACATAAGTACTAATACTAGTAATAGGAAGCTTGACATTAGACTATTCCGTACTACCTATACAGGGATAGAAACCAACACTAGTAATGCATAATTTAATCATTCATGCGTTAAGGATTTAGAGTTTTACTCTACAGTTTTCTAATACGATTACCATATTGAAACCATACCATTGCAACAATGTAAGTAGTAAAATATTAGAAGAATCGAAACAAGCAAGTTGTCAGTGTTTATTATAATGTACTGTTTTTGCCGAAATAAGCACCAGGGTCCTTTAGAAAATTGGCAAAGTTGGGTTGTGTTCAGAGATCGAGTAGTAGTGAACAAACCTAGTTCAAACATCCAAACTAATTTGCTAATAGTTACAAGGTAATCATAGATACATCTTTTGTGATCGAGTATTCTGTAAACATATCTGAAATAAGTGCAAAAACATGTTGACTGACATGTAAATATTCGGTCTGAGTAGGGGGCACTTGTCAAGGATTACTTACAGATGGGTCCAGAAGTTGGTCAGGGAGCTTAGTACATCAAATACTGTATGTCACATTATTGAAATGAAATGATTTTTACTTTTTACTTCAACATGCGATTTATTCTTTCAGCGCCTCCTGCAGATATTGTTTGTTGTAACTGTGGTTGTCATGGTACTGGTAAGTTTGTACATACAGCTTCCTGGTATACACTAAAGTCAATATGTTATTTTAAGTACTGACAATGTCGAAAGTCACTGATTGTATCTTGATAGTCTCGCATATATGATGGTACACTTGCTCCATTTCCCCGATACACCAGTCATTCCCCCGATACGCCAGTCATTTCCCCGATACGCCAGTCATTCCCCCGATACGCCAGTCATTCCCCCGATACGCCAGTCATTTCCCCGATACACTAGTAATTTCCCCGACACGCCAGTCATTTCCCCGCTACGCCAGTCATTTCCCCGACACGCCAGTCATTTCCCCGACACGCCAGTCATTCCCCCGATATATACGCAAGTCAATTCCCCGATACGCCAGTCATTCCCCCGATACGCCAGTCATTCCCCCGATACGCCAGTCATTCCCCCGATACACCAGTCATTCCCCCGATACACCAGTCATTTCCCCGATACACCAGTCATTTCCCCCATACACCAGTCATTTCCCCGATACACCAGTCATTTCCCCGACACACCAGTCATTTCCCTGACACAGTGATTTCCCCGACACACCAGTCATTTCCCCGATACACCTAGTTATTTCCCCGATACACCAGTCATTTCCCCGATACACCAGTCATTTCCCCGATACACCAGTCATTTCCCCGACACACCAGTCATTTCCCCACTAAAATGTTTCCTGATTGGCTGATATAGAATGGACGGGCCTTGTGTTGCATTACTGAGCTGAACCATGTCATTGATTGTGTACTGTTGTCTACATTCATTTTTTACAGCAGTCTTGTGAAGTTATTATTGTTGACATATATATTTATAAGAATTGACTTCATTTTTATTACAGTGTAGTTACAAGCATAAAAATGTGTACAGTTTGCACACCATTTATTTTATATTTATACCACCATAAACACAGAAAATATAGAAGTCAGTTCTTAATACAAGTACAATGGATGACCTACTGTGTAAGATGAGTGGTAGTTTACATTGTAACCTAGTCTCAACCCAAATTTACTCTTCACTTGTTTCAATTCAACAAGAGCAAATAATTCTAGAATATAATAATACTATAGTTGAGATTCACTGATTAAACAGATTATGTAGTTTGCACTGTTTGATACTATAAAGGTGTTATATAATCATCTGTTATGAAATGTAAAATGTTCGAAGTGTCTGATATAAAAACAGTTTCTCTCTTCCTTCAGATCAGTATCATACTCAGCATCTACCGAGGCGTCATCATGGAAACAGCAGGGTCCATGTATTTCATGCTTGGCATCAGTCTCATTGGTTTCGTTGTCATAGAGATTTGCATGGTTCGTATTTTCATTTATCTTGATGAGTGAGTGAGTACGGTTTTACGCCGCTTTTAGCAATATTCCAGCAATATCACGGCGGGGGACACCAGAAATGGGCTTCACACACTGTACCCATGTCGGGAATCGAACCCGGGTCTTCGGCGTGACGGGCGAACGCTTTAACCACTAGGCTACCCGACCGCCCCTTATCTTTATGGAAAGATTTACTTATGATATGCTGTTTTTGATAAGTGTCTGTGTGATGTCACCTGCTGAATAGTTAGTACAAAAAACATGTTTTCCAGATGGTAGCATGTGCAGATCATGCACAGAAGCAGAGGAAGCAGTCTTATTGGTAGTTAAATAACTATTGCCATGGAAGAGTCACAAAACACGTCATTACACAATCGATTCTGTTTTTTTTAACCTTTTCAATAGGAGTATGTTGTCAACTTGTCAGAAAACTAATACAGGATATGATGTCTTAAAAAGTCGCTATTGAATAATATATGGAAATATATAGTGTATATTCCAGTGGTGCTTAACTTACTTTCAGCAGTGTTTAGGTATATATATGTATATTTTATTTTTTTATCCTTGAGCTTCATTACCATGTGATTATGTCATGTTTTACAACAGCAAAAAACAGAAAAAAATTAAGCACCCCACGAAAAAAATAATTAATTGATAAATAAAGAAACAGGTACCGAGGAAGCTTAAGATAAAAGATTAATCTTACATTTTTTGCAGATCCTTTTTATTCGAAGAGGAGACTTACCCAAGGGGAAGACCTGGTTCCTTTATTTTGTGGGAGTGTGTGTTATTTTAGAGGCGATATTTACAGACGTTTTACTCTTCCAGTGAAAACACCAAGTACTGACAATATTTGTATTATTTAGGCATGTCTTTGTCATCACCAGAGACTGGCACCAGACATAACGTGATGTGCTCAATCAAAGTATTTCAAGAAACTCTTGTGAATTTGACAAATTGTTGTACATTGTATATCAAATAGGAAATGATGACAAAAACTGATAATATATTTGAAAAAAATAATTACGTTTATCGATCAGCATATGTAGTGTTTGTTGTAATTTCTCTTCTGTTGTTGAATAAATATTTGAGATTGTCACGATCATGTGATTCAGGTAGCACTTTCCAGTAGAGTAGTTATAATTTCATTACTGTAAGTAATAACTTCCACTGTGAGTATTACCTTTCAACAGTGATGGTGATTAATCAGCACTAGGCTGTTACATGTTAGACAGTATGAAATGTGAGAGTGACCATCTGTGCATTAAACAGTCACTCTGACATCAGTATACAGCTATGTAGGCATGTCATCATAGATCACAATATGGATGTATCGGTAAATTATTTATTGTCAATGCTGTATCAGTGAGAACATAGTGCAGCTATGACAGCTACTGTGTAATGAGTATAATGTATTGTGGCTGTGTTACTAATCATTATGATATATTGATATACATCACAGGCTTTCTTCATGTTCATTGCTCTATGTGAAACTATTGTACCGTGTATGAAATAATGCTTTCACTTGTGCAGGGTATATCTATATTTAATATTTAATGTTTTTAGAACATGGTCAAAGTGCCTTAGTTTTGCAAAGAAATCACGATATTTTTATTTAAGAAGATACAAAATATGCATTGGGATAAATATGAAATGCAGTTTTTAGATTTAGGTTTGATTAAAAAGATGGTGTTCCTTTTCATAATGGCAAAATTACATGCTGAAATATATTTTCTTTGATTTTATTAAAAATCATCTGTATATTGAAATGGGAGGTTCATTCTCATTTGTTATGGCCACTTGTTTCATCTACCATTGCAACACATGGAGACCTGGTTGACTCCACTTACCAGTATGTTCATGTGTGGCATATGTTTCAGTCCACGGTGGGGTTGACCTTGAGGCTGTAATTCACCAGGTCGCAGGCTGTTGTGCTACATGTTTTGGTTTACATTAGTTGCTGCAATGAGTGTACTGTCCATTTTGAAGTTAAACATATTACATGACCTACATGATCTGAATCTGCAGGCCAAGGGGGACCGTCTTCCCAGGGCAAGGGAGTCTTTATGAGCCCAGTTTCCACCATTGCCAAACTTAGCTGGAATTTCATGGCTGTGAGTTCCGTCCCTTCTATGTCCCTCTGAAGATGTATATAGATATGTATATATGTCTTTTGTCCCTCCTATTCACCAATCAGATTCCACACCTCATATTCAAATAAAATGGCAGAGCCCAGTCAAGATCTTTATTGTAATAAAACAGGTCTTACCTCGCGAAGTGCATCAAATCACTTAAACACCTTGTTTAAGAAAACGAAAAGATTTGGAAAATATCTGTTGACACCGAGTTGAGGGTACACATGCTCTGCAATGGAGTGTAATCTGCATGGCAGTCGCCATGTTGTTTATGTCTGTCAATTGTCAATGTCAATTTGGTTATAAGATTTTTGATTGGACTATGCATAGACTCGTTAGTCCAGTCAAAATATTACTCTATTTCAGCCTAGATCGGCAAAGGTTGAAACTGGACATTTTGGTCAGTTAACTCCCTTGCCTCAGAATGATGTTGAGGACTGAGTGGTAGCTTAGTGGTTAAACTCTTTAATTGTTATGCTTATCTCCAGGGTTTGATTCCATATTTAGGTACAAGTTGTGGCACTCATTCAGGTGTCCCCTGCCATGATAGTGTTGTATATTTCTGAAAATGGTGTAAAACCCCCGTACAAACCATTGCTTTATTCAAAAGACCTGGCCATAGTGTTTTTTGTGAACGCCCAGGCCTCTAACAGTTCCAACTGTTACAATTACATGCAAGATCATTTCAATTTATTGTAGATTTGAAGAATAATTTGAACAACACTGTTTACTTATATTCTGTGTTGCCATGAAATTTCTTATGGTAAAGAATTTCTTTATTATTTTTAATGACATTTCACTGCTATGTCACATGAATGAAACATTGTTATGAATAATAAAGGAGTTGTGATGGATCCATAAAAGTTTCGTGTCATCACGGTCTTACAACGTCTAAGTGCCTCTCAAAGACTTCATGAGATTCCTGACTGAATAGTGTGTCATTTTTCTAGTGTGTCATTGCGTCTGACCATCAGCTCATGTTGAGCTAAACTGTGGAGCTCCAGCCTTTTCTACCTACACTGCAGAGTTAGGCAGCAATAAACAGACACTAATTCTTACACTTGAACCATTTTGTTAGCACCTAGTTTTTTATAAAATCGAACATTCTATTTTCTTTGTGTGCAATAATGTATGTATTTTAGGGCAGGTCATATACTTCATGTATTTCATTGTAATTTTGTACCTCATACACATGTAATTGCTGTTTGTGCCTGATTAGTGATGGTAATAGTTATGGTTGGCTGTGTATGTAATACTCAATAACAGTTGGGAGTTCAGGATCAGCTGTTTAAGGAACTAATGAGCTTATGGATAATGATTACCATTGCTACAATGTAAATAGGAGGAAGTTATGGCACAGGTGATGACTCACAATATTACAGGACTGGCTCTATGTTAGACTGGGTGTAAAAGTTAGTAGGTTTGTATTGCTGTAATAACACATTAGGCCAGACCAATTCAGGTTCTTGTTTAAAGATATTCTCGGTCAATATCCCAAGAGGCAGGAGGTTAAGTTCAGAAAAACGAGATTGTTGAGCTGTGCATGTTAAACATGTGGAGGTTGAAACCAAACAATAATTCACCAATAGATGTTATTTTCACTCATAAAAAACATTTGTTCTTTAAAAATAATTTATGGCAGGTTTGTCCTTGCCACATGGGCCAGTGAAGTAATTTATGATTAAAGCATTCACTCCCATTTCTTGTGTCTTCAGCAGTGATATTGCTAAAAGCAGTGTACAACTCTACTCGCTCTTTTCAACAAGAAATTAAATTGGTCTGGTCTTGACATTTCACAACACTGATCAGTTAGTGATATACCCTGTGAAATATCCCAATTGTCAGAACATTGACAGTAAGGTTTAAAAACATTTTTATCATGTGTTTTGTTAATTAATTGCCACATGGGTACACATATATCAGCATTTATTTTCTAAACAGTATTTTGACATGTTAGTAGATGGTTCAGATATTATTTTTGAATTTGTGTGATCTCCAGTTCTGTGATCAGATAGGAATTGGTGATGTGGATTCTTTTGCTGGTGTTATGATACTTTGATGTTGTTACCCATGTCTAAGGTGTTTTCCAATATTTTGTTTTTTGGGAAATGTTCCTTAGTAGCTAGCTTATGTTAATGTAGGCAGTCATAGATAATCACTTATGACCTGTCTTGATCTCAGTTCAAAATATTCCTCTACATTTATATTCATTGACATATTATGTAGTTCAGATATTCTGAAAACCAGAGTATGGGTGGTTGGGAAGTTTTTTTCGTAGTGTTAAGCTCTGTATTCCATAAAACTGAGGGTATATCAACACCGTTAGAACTCAAATATGTCTGGGTGCACATCCTCCACAGGTTATAATGAATGTATTACATTACCCAAGTTGTGTGGACCTCTCAAACTTTAAGACCTGTGAAGATCCGGGGTAGAATAGGTCTTCAGCAACCCACGCTTGCCGTAAAAGGCGTCTGTGCTTGTCGTAAGAGGCGACAAACGGGATCGGATGGTCAGGCTTGCTGACTTGCTTGATGCATGACATCGTATCCCAATTGCGTGGATCGATGCTCATAATATCAATCACTGGATTGTTTGGACCAGACTCGATTATTTACAGATTGCCGTCATATAGCTGGAATATTGCTGAGTGCCGCGTTAAACAACAAACAAACACTAACTTTAATGGTTTTGAAAAAATGAAAGTAGTTGATCCTTGATTAACATAATCGACATGTACTTTCGTTTTGGTAACATCTCTATAATTCCTCATGACATTTTACTAAGGCTGAGGATGGTGTGTGTATTATTACAACAATAGATTATTCAGTTTCACCTTATAAATCAAGGGACGTGTGTGTGTATTGGGTAGGGGTTGGGGGGTGAATAGTAGTTATTTTGGCAAATAAGACTTCACTTTGTTTGAAATTTTTATTTTAGAAAAGACAAATTTCACGATGTGTTTTGATAAACAAGATTTTTGTGATTGTGTTATGACAAAGTGGGTATTATGTTGACACTGATAAGGATGGTTAGTACGTGATTTGATAAGAAAGACAATTCCCTAGTTGATTTAGTTTAGAGTTCCCACCTTATCCAGTATTGTGACATTGTGGTGATTCTGTTGTTACATAGGTTAGCGTTTGAAGTTTGTTCAAACAACATCTTATGACAGCTACAGAACAGTTGTAAGAAGATCAAATGCTGTATTTTATGTCACGTATGGGCCTTTGTTAGACAAGGGATTATATACGAGAGTACATTCCTGGTTAAACCAGTTGTTGAATTGTATCAGAAAGATTTGAGCTTTACCATTTGTTATCCCATGCATACTGTTCAAGTTCCAATATTCCCTGTACTCTCCAGGTACATATGATACATTTGTTTAAAGAGTCATATTCTGCTTTGTTTATAAGTATTGTTATAAATGCGTCATTGATTATTAATAAAAGAAAGTCATAACAAATGTCTTTTTGTCTGTAATACTAATATGAGGTGCGACTTGCATTGGAGGTTCCTAGGCCATGCATTGTTCCCACAAATATACCAATCTCCAGCCACGTCATACCAAGAGACGATAAGATGGTGCTTGTTGTTACCCTGACAGTTGGATTACAGAGGATAAAACAAGGACTGGTCAGCTTTGAGTCAGTATACTGTGTCTGAGTGGGGAATTCATGTTAAACTGTGGCATTGTATCTCAGTGGGCTCGCACTATAAAACCAGTATTAGTCTGGACTGGTACATGCACACGCACACACATGCATCGCCATGTCAGTGCAATAGTATAGCGCTTTTACCTCGTTAAACCTCATTCACATGGGCTCCACCGGTAAAAGTGACATGGCCACAGCAAGCAAAATAAAGAAACTAAATGTATGTTTAGAGGCATAAATTTATTTTTACATGCCATATCCTGGCCGTGTTTTCTATATGCATCAACGAATGTGGTGTCGGCGACATTCGTCAGAATTAATCAACGATCCATCGTTGTTAGCAGTATAATTGTGAAGAGTGAAACCCTTGCTTTCCGGATGGTGCCATTCCTTGTAACAAACGTCCGGAAAGACGAATTATATAAGGATCCGGCGAAAACTTTGTGTTTTCATATATACATTCCAAACAAGACTGCATCATTTAACTAGAGTGGCTTCAAGTCATACAATGTTTTCGAAACCTCTGTAGCTGTCTGTTCCTTAATTACTTACCACCAATTGAAAGTGGACTATGATTAAGGATTCCAAATCAAAGACAAAAGAATCTTATTCAGAATATTATGGTATGTTCAAGGAACCCTCTTTTTATTTCATTATGATATATATTTCGGCAATGTAGGCAATTTTTATTTTTTCTCGGGTTAGTGATTAGCTGATAGTTTTAATCCATTTTTGAATTCCAATAACGCCAATAAGTAAGTAATAATTTGTAAAACATTCAGGGATGTGCCAATCATTTATTTAACAAAGAAGTCAATAATGTCCTTTCAGTGTTAACAATTTCATGTTGTTTCAAGATCACAGGGCCACAGAGCAATGATAATAATAATAAGACAGGAGACATGCTAACATACTGAGGCTGAGTGTGTTGTCTGACATGGCGACGTCTACATCGACGTTGTTGCACCAAGGCATGGCGGGATACTGATACACACTTAGTTGAGGAGGATTAAAAATACTTGATCTTTATGATGTTTTGATGATAGATAATCTCTTATCACGACATGTGTCATTACATGCTTTATCCTCATAAAACGGGAGAAAATGTTGCTGTGTTGATCACTTTGGTTTATTAACAAGCTTGGTGAACTAAACTACTTGAAATGCATCCTTCAATTCCTCTTATGAATAGCTTTGGCGAGGAACTAACACATACAGTGTATTACAGAAGGTAGCAACATGTAAACAGAGAGATAGCAATAATGGAACATTGTAGTTCAGAAATATGAAACTAATATCTTATATTTGGGTACTTTCTATATGCTTAACTTGATGGTTACATACTATGCGAATATGTGATCACAATAACAGCAGTACAATGAAACCTTGCAATCAACATTTAAGAATCGCTTTGATGAATATTCACTGAGGCGTGTAATCGTTCACATGAACTTTGGTTTTCATGCAATGTATGTTTAATTCCAGACATGACACAAAAGAATGTAAGAAAGAGAGTTGAGCTATCGTTCAAGATTCCTAGTCTACCTGAGAACGAACGTCTCCGATTAGCTGAGTTCCGGTGCAGACGCTCTGTATCTCCTTTAAAGAAGTACAGGGTCAAGGTCATCATTCGCAAGGGAGAGAATATCGCACGAAAAGCTAACATCAGGGTCAAACCTATTACACAGGGTGAATATTATGTATTTGACATCAGTCGAGCCATCAAAGCCTTCATCAACGGTTACCACGGTGACGCCACCATTCATGTGGAAATACCACGGACATTCTCCTTAATTCTTTTGAAAACAGCATCCGAAACTTATGGATACTTACTTGTATTTTATTTGGAAAATCGCCACTTTCTTCAAAACCTTTTGGAAACCTACAAAGTCGAAGAGCATTCCACTTTTGATGGATTAGGTAATATAGCCTCACGCGCTAAAAGATCGGCACATGCCACAAGCAGACGTCGAGAACGCAAGAACAGACGATGGAACAAGTCAGGGAAGAAACAAGGGTGTCGTCTGTACGACTTTAACGTCGACTTCAAGACGATCGGCTGGGAACAGTGGATCATCCACCCGACACGCTTCAACTCCAAATTCTGCCACGGAAACTGTCCCTCCCCCATCGACATCCGATTCAAACCCACCAATCACGCCATGCTGCAGTCACTCATGAGAAGCAAGCGCTCCAACGCCGCTCCCGACCTGTGTTGTGTCCCAACCAAACTGGAACCTCTCAGCATGATGTACGTGGAGGATGGCGAAGCTGCATTAGTTGTACGTCATCATGAGGACATGATCGCCTCTGAATGTGGATGTCGATGACGTTGACGTCTCCCATGAACACCAGTGGACTATGTCATGAATTCTGATCGTAATCAGCTGCCAAACAACCAATCTGTGTCATGACACCTTGGCACGGCCAATTGTAACTGTGATATATAGATATACAATGGTGCTATTTTGTAGATACTGATTTGCTTCATGTAAAAGAAATGGATCGTTTGTAATAAATGTTACAATGTACCAAACATTCTTTCTTGAATCATCGTAATATTATTTCTTTAGCACTACACAGAACAATTTATATTCAAATATGACACATCCAACTAGTCAGTCCAAGGAGGTTACTCTTTTATAAACAATTAGAAAATACATACTCGTACAACTTTCGATTGCACTTCACCTTCTATCGGTCATACGTTACCAACGATAGTTAGTTTGTGCTTGCATGTCACCTGAAATTACCTTTTCAATGCAATACATGGAATGCATACGAATTCTCTTATTCACACTTAAAATAGGTGTGATAAATAGGAAGAGTGCACTCCTCATTTTTATCATGAGAAAACACTCTTGAAGTGTATCATGATAACCTGATTAGCACAAGTAGTTGCATGCCTTTGACACAAAGGAGATTAACAAAGAGGCCACCAGTGAAAGTGACATGTCTGCAGCAAGCGAAATAAAAAAAACCTTAACGTATGTTGAGAAGCATAAATTGATTTTCACACGCCATATCCTAACCATGTTTTCTATATGCGTCAACGAATGTGGTGTTAGCGACATTCGGCAGAATTAATCAACGATCAATCATTGTTGGCAGTAAAATTGTGAAGAGTGAAACCCTTTCTTTCCGGATGGTGTCATTCCTTGTAAAAAACGTCCGGAAAGACGAATTATATATGGATACGGCGAAAACTTTGTGTTTTCATATATACATTCCAAACAAGACTGCATCATTTAACTAGAGTGGCTTCAAGTCATACAATGTTTTCGAAACCTCTGTAGCTGTCTGTTCCTTAATTACTTACCACCAATTGAAAGTGGACTATGATTAAGGATTCCAAATCAAAGACAAAAGAATCTTATTCAGAATATTATGGTATGTTCAAGGAACCCTCTTTTTATTTCATTATGATATATATTTCGGCAATGTAGGCAATTTTTATTTTTTCTCGGGTTAGTGATTAGCTGATAGTTTTAATCCATTTTTGAATTCCAATAACGCCAATAAGTAAGTAATAATTTGTAAAACATTCAGGGATGTGCCAATTATTTATTTAACAAAGAAGTCAATAATGTCCTTTCAGTGTTAACAATTTCATGTTGTTTCAAGATCACAGGGCCACAGAGCAATGATAATAATAATAAGACAGGAGACATGCTAACATACTGAGGCTGAGTGTGTTGTCTGACATGGCGACGTCTACATCGACGTTGTTGCACCAAGGCATGGCGGGATACTGATACACACTTAGTTGAGGAGGATTAAAAATACTTGATCTTTATGATGTTTTGATGATAGATAATCTCTTATCACGACATGTGTCATTACATGCTTTATCCTCATAAAACGGGAGAAAATGTTGCTGTGTTGATCACTTTGGTTTATTAACAAGCTTGGTGAACTAAACTACTTGAAATGCATCCTTCAATTCCTCTTATGAATAGCTTTGGCGAGGAACTAACACATACAGTGTATTACAGAAGGTAGCAACATGTAAACAGAGAGATAGCAATAATGGAACATTGTAGTTCAGAAATATGAAACTAATATCTTATATTTGGGTACTTTCTATATGCTTAACTTGATTGTTACATACTATGAGAATATGTGCTCACAATAACAGCAGTGCAATGAAACCTTGCAATCAGCATTTAAGAATCGCTTTGATGAATATTCACTGAGGCGTGTAATCGTTCACTCTAAAAGCTGACGAGGTGTTTTCTTAAAGGAAACTAGGAACTAGCTGAGATTAACGGGATGAGTGTGATCCGGGAGACAGGATCAGACAGTGATTGTTCGACAGTCAGATGAGACAGGGAGACAGGCTTGTTACTGTGGAGGAGCATGATAGCCGCTGTCTGGGAACTGAATAGTGAAAAGAGTATGTACCTGTAAAGATGAAGGCCATCTTACACTGACGAATTGTGAATATGCATAAGCCGTGATTTAAAGAAGCATATACAGTTTCTGGGACTTGGCACCAATATATAAATATACTGAATATACATGTAAGATCAGAATTAGTTGTGCAATTTCATTGAATCAAGAAAGCGTAATTCAATCTGACAACATCGGATTCCTGTATATAGCTTATGCGTATATTAAAATAACAATGTTTAATGTCAGAGAATCTATATTTCATGCCTTAAGAAGACAACTTCCACAGTAGTATATTACAGAATATTTTCATAAACACCTTGCTTGAAACATATGGTAATAAGATCTATGTAATTATTTTTTTCAAATTATTCGTTTGCAAAATATATTATCTGTCAAATCACAGTAACGC